ATTGGATCAAAAGTTCGCCGCCGTTTTAACTTGGGTGTCTACAAAAAGATTCAAGTCCCCGGGGTTTAGTCCAAATGAGCTCAGATTTGACATGTCACATCTACAGACATAAACTCACAAAAATTTTAAATTTTTGGGGGGATACTCCTTATGGTTTGCCTGTAGCACGCCAGTGAAAAACACCTTCATTTCCTCTTTCTTTGAAGACCTGTCACAGCCACAGGCATTGGCCTAGAGAGCTCAAATTCAAATCACAATTGCGAGATTCAGGCATGAATGTAATGAAATATGAAATCTAATAAACGTGAACTCTATAGCGCCCCGTAGCATAGACATGAAACGTCAACATTATCGGATTTGGACCAAATTCGGGGATTAAATTCTATGTATCATTACAAGCAAAAAAGGCTATTACGGATATGATGTATTTTTCACGGTTGGCCAGAAGGGGTGCAAAGACTCCCTCAAAAAATATTTAAGAAATTATTATACACACAGGCTTTGTCCAATTTTGCAGAAATTTGAATCACTAATGCCTGATCACGGCCTGAATATAATACACTATAAAACATGTGAAAAGTGAACACTATAGCACCCCGTACCATACATATGAAACGTCAAGATTATTGAATTTACACCAAATTCATGGATAAAATTCTATGCATGATTATGAGCAAAATATATATTTTATATTATGGACATATATATTAATATATTACGGACATGAGGCATTTTCCACGGTTGGCCAGCAGGGGCGCAAAGACTCCCCCAAAAAATAGTAAAAAATGATTATACACACAGGCTTAGTCCAAATGTGCTGAAATTTGAATCACTAATGCATGATTTTGGTCTGATTATAATACAACATAAAGCATATGAAACATGAACACTATAGCGCCTCCTAGCATAGACATGACACATCGACATTATTGGATTAGTACCAAATTAGGGGATTAAATTCCATGCATAATTACAAGCAAAAAAATATATTCCGGACATGGAGCATTTTTCACGGTTGGTCAGCAGGGGGCGCAAAGACTCCTAAAAGCATTTAAAGGTACACTATGTAATATTCTGTTGGACGAGCTGTCGGTCTGGGCAGCTGTGAGGAAGAAAGAAAGGGGCGGTCGTGAGTCCCCAGCAGTCGCATGGGGGGGGCGTGCGCACCCTGGCGAGGGCCACCATTGCCGCGAGCGGCTTTAATTGGCCCTCGCCACTAACAAAGTTAGGGGCGAGGCGTATTGTTCTTCGTCGGTTTCTTTTTTTTATTCCTTTTCCGACCAAACGATCGCATTTTTGACCCCCTAAACATGGACGAAAAGTCCCCAAACCGGGGTTAAGATAGATCGGCCCGGCGAAAAATTCGATAAAATGGGCATCGCAACAATGACCCGAGTGACCCGTCTCAACAGCGCCACCTAGAATTGGACCCCTATGGGAGTGGGGACAGGCAAAGTTTGTCGCAGGGAAACGAAATTCGGGACAGTGATAGAGAACAATGTGACAAGACAAAAGATGAATTGGAGCATGACCCTATGACGAACAGGAAGTCGGCCATATTGGATCAAACATTCGGCGCCGTTTTGACTTGGGGGTCTACAAAAAGATTAAAGTCCTCGGGGTTTGGTCCAAATGAGCTCAGATTTGACATGTCACATCTACAGACATAGCTTCACTCAAATCTTCCATGTTTTTGGGATACTCTTTACGGTTCGCCCGTAGCACACCGGCGAATAACGCCTTCATTTCCTGTTTTTTCGGTGACCTGTCACGGCCACAGGCATTGTCCTAGAGAGCTCAAATTCAAATCACAATTGCGTGATCCAGGCCTGAATGTGATGAAATATGAAATTTAATAAAAATGAACTCTATAGCGCCCCCTAGCATAGACGTGAAATGTCAACATTATCAGATTTGTACCAAATTCGGGGATTAAATTCTATGCATGCTGACAAGCAAAAAAGTTTATTATGGACATGATGCATTTTCCACCATTGGCCAGCAGGGGCGCAAAGACTCCACCGAAAAATAGTAAAAAAATACTTACACACACAGGCTTAGTCCGATCGTGCTGAAATTTGAATCTTTAATGCCTGATCATGGCCTGAATATAATACACTATAAACCATATGAAAAGTGAACTCTATAGCGCCCCCTAGCATAGACATGGAAACGTCAACATTATCGAATTTGGACCAAATTCGGGAATTAAATTCTATGCATGAATACAAGCAAAAAAGTCTATTATGGACATGATGCATTTTCCACCACTGGCCAGCAGGGGCGCAAAGACTCCCCCAAAAAATAGTTAAAAAATAATTACACTCACAGGCTTAGTCCGATCGTGCTGAAATTTGAATCACTAATGCCTGATCATGGCCTGATTATAATACACTATAAAACATATGAAAAGTGAACTCTATAGCGCCCCCTAGCATAGACATGACATGTCAACATTATCGGATTAGTACCAAATTCGGGATATAAATTCTATGCATGATGACAAGCAAAAAAGTCTATTATATATATTTTGTCGTACAGTCACGAAATTCGGAGCAGTGATAGAACTCATGGAGACAAACAAAAAAGTCAATCATTGTGCACCCCTATGACGAACAGGAAGTCGGCCATATTGGATCAAAAATTCTGCGCCGTTTTGACTTGGGGGTCTACAAAAAGATTCAAGTCCCCGGGGTTTGGTCCAAATGAGCTCAGATTTGACATGTCACATCTACAGACATAAACTCACGGAAATTTTCAACTTTTTTTGGGATACTCCTTACGGTTCGCCCGTAGCATGCAGCCGAAAAACGCCTTCATTTCCTGTTTTTTCGGTGACCTGTCACGGCCACAGGCATTGTCCTAGAGAACTCAAATTCAAATCACAATTGCGTGATCCAGGCCCGAATGTAATGAAAAATGAAATTTAATAAAAGTGAACTCTATAGCGCCCCCTAGCATAGACATGAAACGTCAACATTATCGGATTTGGACCAAATTCGGAAATTAAATTCTATGCATGATGACAAGCAAAAAAGTCTATTACGGACATGATGCATTTTTCACGGTTTGCCAGTAGGGGCGCAAAGAATCCCCCCAAAAATATTTTTAAAATTATTACAGGGACATGCTTAGTTCGATTGTGCTGAAATTTGAATCACTAATGCGGGATATTGGTCTGAATATAATAAACTATAAAACATATGAAAAGTGAACAGTATAGCGCCCCCTACCTTAGACATGAAATGTCAACATTATCGGACTTGGACCAAAGTCGGGGGTTAAATTCTATGCATGATTATAAGCAAAAATGTCTATTACAGTCATGGTGTATTTTTCACGGTTGGCCAGCAGGGGCACAGAGAATCCTCCAAAAAATATTGTAAAAATTATTATATGCACATGTTTTGTCCGATTGTGATGACATTTCTATCAGTTATACACTGCATGACCCTTATTCCATTGATATGTCAAATACAGTTATCAGGGATACAGCGCCACCTATATGAATGCACACAATTTATTATTGTGTGATGTAAAATTAGTTTTACATTCATTTGTAAAACTTTGCCAAAACATTCACTGACGTACTCCTCATCATAAAAGTCAGTAAGACCTATGCCCTAGTTTTTGGCCTCTAGAATAATTTCACTTCTGAGAAATTTAAAGGCACACTATGTAACTTTTCTGGTGGAGGATGTGTTTTCATGCACTTTGTCTTAGTGTGACAGTGCTCTTGACCATTAAAGTCACGTGACCTGTGGCTTAGTGTCTAGAGTTTGTCTCTAGAATCATTCACTTTATCCAATTTTAAAGGTACACTATGTCATTTTTCTGGTGGACGAGCTGTTGGCCTCGGGAGCTGTCGGGAAGAGAGAGCGGTGTGTCGGGGGCGGGCGCGAGTCCCCGGCATTCGCCAGGGGGGGCGGTGCGCGCCCGGGGCGAGGGCCACCATCGCCGCGCGCGGCTTTAATATTTATTTTGTATTCCCCCTGTGTGTGTGTGTATGTCTGTCCACCCGCGATAATTTCGCCATTTATGGACCGATTGTCACCAAATTTTGTACGTGGGTCAAGTCCCCGTGCTCGATGCTGCAAAAAAAAGGTTTGATGACGATCCAAGGTCATTTGAGGTCACATGGGTCAACTGAAAGGTCACACCATTATAAAGGATAGGCAATTTCTGAACCACCTGTGGGCCAAAATATTTACCCAATCATCACACAAGTTGGCACACACATAACCGGGGTATGGGCTGGGCTCCTCATAAGATGGCTTCCGTGATGATGAACTGCCCCCACCGATGCCTCATGGGGGACCAGGTTGCTATCTCTGATTGCGCTTGTTTAAAAGAATTGTAAAGGTAAAATTAACAAAAGGAGAACATTTACAATAATTAACAAAAAGAAGCTCTAAAAAGAGAAGCAAAATGTATACTACTAAAAGTAGGCTAACAAAAACTGTATATAAATTCCAGTATTAGAAAAAAGTGGCATGCAGTCCACAGACAAAACAGCAGCCATGAGTGGCAGGGGGCAGGTCCTTTTATAGGTCTAGGACTGCAGGTGTAGGCCCAGGATTGGCCAGGTGTTATGGCGTTCCACCAATCAGCTGGAAAGGAACCAGGTGCCATGTTAAATTAAATCCACCAATCACAGCTGGTCTGGCGATGGAGGTTTGCATGCACATGCATAAATACGGATCAGAAGCAAAGACTTAAGCAGATATGCTTATAGGAGGAGCTGAAGGCATGTGGCTACAACACAAATTATTGGCCATCTTGATTAAAAACAATCCAGAGTTACAGAGGATATGTGTTTTTGACAGGCAATATAAACTAAGTCAATTTGCTGATGACACAGCATTATTCTTGCAAAATAATCTCATGGTTAAGAAAGCACATGCACACATAGTTTCATTATTCTCAAAGGCATCAGGGTTAAAATTAAATACTGTATTAATAAATGTGAAATTCTCCCGATTCATTTGTGTTGAGATAAAAAGGTTTTATCATTTATTTGGACTGGTTTGACAAAAACATTACATTTGTTCTGGGTCTAATGGACTGTGATGGTAATATGCTAAACTGAAAAATATAATCTTAACTGTGAGTATAGAGTATTCCATAAAGTTCCTCCACCATTAATCCATTTGATTAAAAGTACACTTCAGTAATTCCAGTGTTCCAATGTCCTTACCCATTCTGAAGGTGAATGATTGTAATTTATTAGATTCTAAATGTAACAATAAGTGTATTAATAATAAAGGTATGAGAAAAAAATACAATTACTTTAATAGAACTTCTTTTAAGCACATGCCCAGCTCTAATAATCAGTCTACAAAAATTAAAGCATACTCTAAATGTGTTAAGTTACTGCTTTCTCCTATAGTGAAGGATTCATTTTAAATTTTTGAAAAATATCTACCTTGTGGGTCTGCTTCTTAAAAGATTTAAATTAGAGGTTGAATTTTGTATTTTTTCAGAATCTTTGAATAATTTGTTTTTTGAATGCCCTCACTCTCAAGTCTTCTGGTTAGATGTCAGAAGCTGGCTTAATCTAAAAATGAAAATCCCTGTATTTAAGATTTCTCACATTTTGCTTTGTATGAACAATTTGGATTCTTCAACAGAAGTAGTTGTAAATATTATTTTGCTTTTGATAAAATACTATATTCATTGCAGTAACTGGAGAGGGAATAAACCCTAATTTTTTTGTTTTCTGGAGGAGTGGTCTTGATTTTTCAGTAGGAGACATGTAGTGAGGATGTAGTCTGAGGGATTATCAGACTACATATATATATTGTTTTATTCATGGCTGTAAATGGAATAATACCAGTCCTAATATCTTTCAAAATGAAATGCAATAAAAATAATATTTTACATATTATTTTAAATAATTTCAACCAATTAAACAATCTTATTACATATAATCAGGAACTTAAATTATCAATCTGAAACATCTATTTACCCCATGTCTATCTTTGTATATATTGTTTAACTGTTAGCTTGTATGTTTATAATCATCTACATGTAAATATGCAATACATTTAATAAAAAAAAAAGATTATTACATATTACATTATTCCTTTTTTAAAGTTTGCTTTTTGGTGTGTCGAGCAGTTCTTTCACATCTTGAAGATTTTCTCCTTCTGGTGCCTCAGGCCAAGCACTGTGATCTGCCAAAAAGAAACAATACTGTGTTTTATCTAACGTATGTTTGTAGTAAATAGCATACTGCACATATTGCCCACATACCAGGTATTTCCCAGACTGAATGGTAAAGACTCTGCCCTGCATCTACCCGCAGTGTGGCTCCTGAAATGTAGGATGCACCCGGAGACAACAGGAAACAGACAGCTGAAGAGATCTTAAAAAAACAAAACAAAAAAACTCAAAATATTAAGAAATTAAATCCACAAGTAATATGAATAAAACACTTGAATGACCAAAGTTTGTGCCGATTTAGGTTCCATACCAACAGCATAACCTACAGTCCATCCCTAAGATAAAATCTCCACATGCAGTTTCAAAGTGTAGAAGCACTGCCATTTAGTACACATTGCAGTAAAGCACTGTGAGAGCATTATTCACTTTACTTTATTATTATTTACTTACACAGTTAAAAAGTTACCTCCTCTGGTAATCCCAGCCTTTTTGCAGGAATAAATGGTATAACCCTCTTGAATATAACATGCCCATGGTCCTTATAGTTTTCCATAGCAGTTTTGGAAAATATTACACCCTAAAAAAGAAAGAATAATAACAGTACAATGTATACTACAATGGGCATGAGACATATTTTCTGTGAGAACATACAGGTGCGACTGCGTTAACACGAACTCCTGAGGATGCCCACTCAATAGCTAAGCTTTTGGTGAGATTGTCCACGCCTGCCCTTGCAGCTCCTGTGTGACTGTTCAATGAATGACAATAAAGATTCTAAAACAAGAAGTAATAAAACAGAGCATTGCTAGTGCATACTTACGCCATGCCAGGAAAACCTTTCCACATGTCAGCAATAATGTTTACAATCACCCCTCCATGTTGTTTCATCCATGCAGTGTAAACTGCATAAACATTAAGGTTATATCAGCCCTTGCCCAAACTCAACCATGGTAACTTTGCAATTCTTTATACCCTCTTTGCAGCACTGAAATGTCCCATTTAGGTTGGTGTCTATGACAGACCTCCAGCCTTTTGAGGGCATATTCTCAGTAGTGCTTATAAACTGGCCTCCACCATTGTTGACCAGAAAATCTATGCGTCCATATTGTTTCAATACTTCTGAAACAAGAAGCTTCACCTAGACACAATACACACATTAGGTCTTAACCAGACAGGTTATAGATTAGTGTTATATATGGTACAGAGTGAGACTTTCCCCAGGGACTGCAGATGGAAATGAACTCTGAGAGCTATAGCAGCTAAAGCATCACTGTTTGTTTGATTAATGCTCCTGTACATGGTCCCTGTAAAATAAACCAAACTAACTAAAACCTGACCTCCTCCTCATTGCGGATGTTGCATGGCACAGAGGTAACAGTGGCTGGGTTGGAGGAGGAGATCTTTGTCTTGAGTTCCTCCACTGCAGTTTTCAGCTTCTCTGCCTTTCTGCTGGAGATCACCACATTGCAACCTGTCAAATGACATTTCCTTTTGAAAACTATTGTAATACAAATAATCATATGAGGCTGTTATTCTGCACCAACTGAACAGCTACGCAGGCTTTATTATTAACAGTGCACATTACATTACATATTATACTAGTAGTTAAGTGGACTCAAACCGCTAAGAGCGAGTGACTCGAGTTATTGTTTCTTGAAACATATTAGTTCAAATTTTGTATCAGATAAAACAGTCCTCACCTAGTCCAAGAAGCTCTGCAGAAATGGCTTTACCAATCCCGGTGCCTCCTCCAGTTACAATTGCTACTTTATGATTAAACAAACCATGTCTGAACACACTGGTAGCCGCCATACTTGTGTGACCGGACAAAGTACAGCGACTTCACTTCTGCTGGAGAGTCGCAGAAACGATGTTATAGATTTGGTGCCACCTTGAGGAATATCTTAACAAAAACACACGCTTCACTTTAATTGCGGCTTGTAAGTATGTAAAGAGCAATTCAAATGGAAATTGTTGAGATTTCCCTTGTTATTACTAGGCAAAAGAAGTTCTGTTGTCTCAAACTCACAAAACTATAGAATCAGATCAATACTACACCAGCCCTCTCCCTCTAACGTATCATTTAATTCTGTGACAATTTTACATCTGATTTTGAGTGTTGAAATAAAAATCTAGATTTACTCCCTTAGCTCACAAGTTCTTAACCTAGGTTTAAAAATAATTAAAATGGATGCCAAATGTAGATTTAATTTTTTAAACTAGGGTTATACAATGGTTTCAAACCACAGTCAGTATTAAAATGTATAATATATATAGTCTGTTTCAAAAGTCCTTCAAAAAGCAGTGTAGCACATGTATTGTTGATTTACATTTCTTGGCCAAGTAAAGTTTTACTGAGCATTTCATATTAAAATTACATTTAACAGGCCACTTTGTCATTTTGTGGTTTTAGGTTGACAAATTTGTTTTCAGGTGATGTCATACTTCTAGATGGGGGAAAAGAGCCAGCCATAATTATGTATTTTACCATAAAATGTTAAAAAGGTAAATTCCTTAACATCAAACCTGAGCATTTCTATTACCAACTAGACCCAATACCATGCTATATTACAGCAAAAATCTGCAATTGAATATTAATTTTAGGTTGAGAACTATAGCACAAGATAATCAGAAAAACTGCTCCCAATCTGTCATTCTATTCTCAGATTCGCAAACTGTTAGTCAAGGGTTTTAGTTGCTGTATAAACTGCTGATTCCACTATGGTGGTAAGCTACTACTATAGCCATAGCTGTCCCGGGGAAGACAAAGTGAGGCACCAATCTATGCCATCAACCCCTCCGACCACCATTCATTCATTCATTCATTCATGCACTTTCATACAAGGCAATGTGGAAACAATGACAGAACATCTGAGTGGGAATTGATCCTCCAATCTTTGAGTTGGAGGATCATTGACCCACTGCCAAGTATTATACACTTCACTTGATCAAAAGTTAGATGCACTTAAAACTTCACTGCTATATAAACATGTGATGTGGTGCAATTGCTAGTAGCCACTGAAAATAGATGACAGACAAACAATTCCGCTCCAGACCGCTTTATTTATGGATGTTGAGGCCATGTCCAGTTCGGTTAAGTTATAGAAAACAAAGTCCCATATCCACCAGCGATTGTTCAACTGGTTTACTGGTCCTTCAGCTCCTTCAGCCTCCTAATTGCAGACTTCACTGTGACAGCAGAAGTTGTGCTGGAAATGAAACAAAATTTTAGAGATTCATGACTGCAACCATGACAGTATCCAGGAAATGGTAACATTTTCAACTTTGGGGTACACGGACTAGGACTTTAGAACAATGCCATGCTCAAGCATGATTGTATAGGGTTTCATGCCTCACTCTCACACCTGCACAACCGAACTGAGCCACAGCTTGGTGATAGTGTCACACAGCACTGTTTACATCTTGCACAGCAGAGCTATCGCTGTCAGTGACATGAAATTAAAAGTTAGGCAGATAAGAGTCCTACTACGATACATACTCCTTTACAGATTTAACAGCGCAGGGGAGTGGTGAGGATAGCTGAACTGCACCCAGGCATGGCACAGTACGGTTTGGCTGTCCTCACACTTGACGAATGTACCACGCTTTAAGGGCTATCTGTCCTTGGGCACAGTTTGATTTGGCTAGTGTGAGTGCACCCTTAACTTCAGGAAAATAGTGTTTAACTGTTGGTCATTCATTAACTGGATACATTCTAACAGATCAGTATAAAAAAAACTTTAACCACATAGAAACAAAGGAATTTTTTGAACTTGTAATATTTAAATTTTTCAAAACGTCTATGGGAAAACAAGTAAAATGTCTTCTATAAAACAGGCACAGACTTCCAAATGTGCAGGACCATTAAGCTTGAATACTATATCAATTACTTATTACAATTGCTACACTAAATGCACATGCAGATGCCTCATGTGTCCTACTACCCATTGTTTGATTACAAACAAAGTAACATACTTGTAAGTCCAGGCTCCTCCAGCTACAGTCTTCCTGCAGGATCCGCAGTGCCAGATACCAACAGCCCTCCTCTTCATCTTGGTCTACAAGTGAAAATTTCAAAATACTTAAAACTTCTTCCACCTTTGTATCATGCAGGTCAGCATTTCAAAACAGGTTTACCTTTCCACAGAAAGAACAAGTGTATTTTGAATGCTGGGAGATTTCAATTTTCTTGACCATCTTCCTCAGCGACGCACCATAACGTGTGCCATATTTACCAACGATCCCCACCTTCTTCGTGCGCTTAGCCTGTCAACACGTTAGCATATCACAAGAGGAAATACATTAATTTAACATTAATACTGGATAATAAACTCAAGTTATACATCTGTAAAAAGAAAATGAAAAGTATTCAAATCAGATTTTAAGGAGAAGAGCTATCAATTATCATTGCCTAGTTACGTCGCTAGTCAAGTCTCAATAACCGGTGTAGAAACAAGTTGTCAGATATCCCAAGACGTCTATCGAGTCTACTACAGATACATCGGTTCATTATTATTGCGAATATAGGCTGAAATTCACTGTAAAGCAACTTCACAACTAGCCACCCGGTACTTCGGCTAGGCAGATAGCAGCACTGGCGGCAGCCATTATGCTTGGTGCAGTGAACATGTATGTCTTTTACACAATGTACGGTTAAAAATCAACATCAAACTGGAAGAATACATAAATTAGACTTCCAGTGACATTTCCGCCGAGGACTGGGCATATTTAAAATATCTATAACAGCGGATTACAGTGGATTTGGAAAAGGACATTTTCAGCTCACCATCGTTTCAGTGGAGACGTAGGTCCAAAGAGAAAGAGCATATTGCGCAGGCGCGCTTTACAAGCATTTCAACGATGCATTGTGGGAGATTGAGTTTAATGTTCAGGAAACATTAAACATAAACAAATAATGAATGATGACACATCATATGTAAAACATGATAGTAAACAGAGTATTGATATTTACTGTTTACCTAAATCATGATTTAAATTAGACACGTTACTAAGGACGCTGCCATGGTTTGATATGCGCATGCGCTAGACGGTGGAGGACGACAACCCTAAATGAGCTCGTAGGAATGAGCTGACTTGAAATGTTTGTTTATTCGATTGCACGACTGCTTACAATGTATGTGAAATATATTTAGTTGAAATGAAGCTCTCTAGAAAGCTAGTTCTCGCCAAAGCTAAGGCATCTGACCTGGATAGTGTAAAGAAACTAAATTGTTGGTAAGGGTTTTATCTCAACACATCTTTAGCTGCTCTTGGTGAGGCTGCATCTTTTATAGCAACATTTATTTTTCCTTGTTACAGGGGATGTAATCTGACAGACGTGAGTAAGGTTTTACATTCATTGTTTTGGTTGGAGAAATGACGGACTTAAGAGATCTGTATTCTTGAGGTAAACTTTACTGAAAGCGTGTAAAAAATAAAGCAAAAGTATATATTTTTTTCCTTACAGATATCCATCTTCACCCTAATGTCCAACATCGAGGTGCTGACACTGAGGTTGGTTGAGGACATGTCAGTTTGTTTTAACCTACACTCAGTACAACAATGATGATGCTACCACTGCATCTAATATCTTTCTCTCTCCAGTGTCAACAGTATCACATCTCTTGCTCCTCTGGCCAGTTGCCTGAACCTATGTGAGCTCTATCTAAGGAGGAACATGATCTCCTCACTATCAGAGCTGTCCCACCTGCGTTTGCTGGGCCGTCTGAAGGTGCTGTGGTTGGCAGAAAACCCCTGCTGTGGCACTGACCCAAACAAGTACAGACTCACAGTACTGCGATGCCTCCCACGTCTTCAGAAACTGGATAATCAAGGTATTGTCAGAATTATATATATATATATATGTATGTATGTATGTATGTATGTATATATATATATATATATATATATATATATATATAGATATAGATATAGATATAGATATAGATATAGATAGATAGATTTTTTTTTTTTAAATTTGATATCATTCACCACTCTAATAATAAATGTGAAAATTATAATTTGGTGTTACTTTGCCATGGACATGAACACATTTTGTGTTCAGTGGTGACAGAGGAGGAGGTTGCACTTGCTCTTACCCAAGGAGAAGAGGTCACTACCCCCACAGACCCAGTCCAAAACCAGCTTTCAACCAATGGTCAGCCAGACACAGAGACAGAGAATGATCCCCTTGAATACAGCATGGATGAGACAAAGTATGTTTTCATCAACATCTTATTCAAGTTGAAGCTTCATATGTAATCACAATATATCTAAACTTTATAGCAAAATAAGGGAACAGTTGGGAATGAGGCCACTTCCAAGAGATAAGTTCCCATCATTGTCTTCTCCATCAACCAGAGAAAACAGGCTGCTCACAAGAAAGGTGGTTATTTTTCGTCATTTATCAATTACTCAAATGTAGGTTATGATCTGAGCTTTTTTGTATTTTCAGTCACACACACTTGATGCAATTCTGCTTCTGCTCAAAGATTTGGATGAAGACGAGCTTCATGTTGTGCATACAGCTACACAGAACAGACTCCAAATGTTTACATTAAATTCAGAAATGATGAAAAACTCACTACAGACCAAAAGGACTGTAGATATTGAAGATTAGTCTATATGTAGTCCAGTTGCTTATAGTGTTCCAGCTTGCATGTAAATTGCACTAATCAAATTGAATAATAGGCTCAATTCATGCTTACCTGAAGATGTTTGGAAACATGCTAATGACAACTTCCGGTGAAGTTACCGATACTCGATTATACACTGTATGAAGAATAATTATATACAGTCTATATACTGGGCATGTGATAAAACAGTTACTATTGGCGACAGAGCCCAAAGTAGTCATCCACTTGTTTCCAAACATCTGTCAGCTTTGTGACATAAGTGAATAGAGCCCATAAGTATGATTCTCACCTGCCTTTATCAAAAAGAATGTATGTTTTGCAAAAATATTTATATAAAGAAAATCACATGATATCTTGTTTTTATTCACACAGATGGGTATACATAGAGAAATGCAAGCACAGCATTTTTACAATTTATAAAGGGTACATTAAATATAATTTATTCCAAAGTGCTTTGGAGCTACAGTTCTTATTTGAGGCTATACATAATGATCAGTTCATGTTGAATTATTTCAGAGGTACATTTATTCAGCCTGCTCATTTTCCAGGAAATCCACCAATGTATTTGCCTCAACAGGGACAATCAAATACTCCACTCCATCTGCACCCTATGAAAGAAAACAATGAAATGAAAACTGAAGGAAAATGTAAATAAAAAATGTTAACTGAAGTGAGGAGTACTTTTCGTGTGCGGATCAGTTTATGATCTCTGAACTCAGTCAGCTGAGTCCTCAATGTCAGATCAGAGTTCACCAAGAATGCCTCTCGACATCGTTGATAAAAGTCTTGGAAGGACAATCCTGAAAAAGCCAAAAGAGTGTAAATTTTTTTTTTTACATTTGCACAGAAAAACAACCACATGTTCTGGGGTATAATCACCTGTATATGATGGGTTGTCTTTGTTTTCTAGCTGAAATTTTACCAGCAATTTGAAAATTCCTCTGCAGAAAGACAAACATGGAATGTTTAAGATGTTTAAGTTAATGTGAAATAACATTTGTTGGCAATTTTTTAACCTTGCATTTGGTGTCAAGCTTCGCAGCACATGAGTGAGAGAGGACAAAGCCAAAGCCCCCGTCTGCTGCACCAAAAGGGAGTTTTCATATGAAGTCTCTTCTGTGTAGTGTTGAAAAGTAACACACTCCCACCACAACCAGTTAAACTGACTCTGCTTAAACTGGTCCCACACTAAAATATCATATGACTTAATACAGACACAAAAGTGTTATTATGAATTAATGCATTCAAGAAAACAGCACTCACCCAATGTGCTGTTGATATGGTCAATAGATGCAACAAGGTGCAGATTGGGCAGAGAAGCAATTTGTGCCAGTGCACTTTGAGTTTTTTCTCCTCGCAGCATTGGCCCATCAATATTGTGAATAATAATATACACATGGAGCTCTGGATCTGTGAGATGATGTATTTAAGAAAAAAGTGTTAAAATATATACAAATGTAACACAAAATGAAAATAGAAACTGACCATCTTTAAGGGTTTGAGAGATGAACTGGATCTGGTCTGTAGGAGTTCGGAAACTTCCATGATGCTCAAGAACCTCACTTGTCAAAGCATTTAAGATCTGTGGAAATTGTATAAACTGAATACTTGACAGTCTATTCCAATTATATCTAATAATGAACAGTCAATTAAGGAGCAGGCAAGCAACACATTTTAGAAAGTACTGTATAAAACTACGTGATTAGATACTTACTGATTTTAGGGTAATAGAGGGGAAAAAGCCATTTATCACAAGGTGAATTTCTTGAGATAGCTGAGAGGTCCGGAAATCTTCTAGCAGAGATTTTTTACTTCCTAATCCATAAACCAGGACACTAAACCCTAACCTGAAGAATATCATATGTGCATTAGACACAGTAGAACTACAAATAGTAATACAACTGTACTTACTGTAGCTGTAACATCCATTTGCTAAAATGCTGACAATGTTTCTTATGAAGCTCCTGGATTTCTTTTGCATAGCATGACGGTTTTCCATCTAAAAGTCGAATTAATGTCTCCTGAAAAACCAAGCAAAAATAACTGGTAAGTCATCACATTAATTCATTTGAGCACTACAGTAGTCCTTATGAAATACCAACCCTGTCAAGTTTAGGGGTGCTTAGTTTCTCAAGTGTCCGATCTGATGTCAGCACTTTTGAACTGCCGTGAGCTTCGAAGTAATCCTCCACTATACTGGGCTGATGCACAGGTTCAGGAGCATTCTTGGTCTTTTTGGCTGGAGTTTTGTTAAGAGCGGCTGATAAACCTTTACTTGGGGTTTGAGGCACCTTCACATTCTCCTTCTCTTCCTTTTTGGAATCTATCTTTTCATCCTCCTCCTGTTCTTCTCCAGAGTCAGAGGGGGATAGCTCACTCTCACTGTCCGATCGCAGGCTTGGAGCTATATCAAAGTAAAATACATACTAACAAGTCAATACAAAATAATTTATAATTTATCAATATATTATTATATTATTAATAAAGGACACTTGCTGTGAAAATATCTACTTTTTAAAGTAGCTTATTTTTTTTTTATTTAATGTAAAAATTATGAAAAATAAACACACTAACTTGCAATTCTTTTCCTGAGTCTGTGAGGTGTGGTGGAGACAAACTGTCTTTTTTTGTTCTGTCACAAATAAAGTGCATACACAAAAAAGTGATTTTCACATAATATCACATTTATATTGTATGTTTATTACAACAAGCATGTAGAATTTTAAACTCTAATGACTTTACTCTCTGTGGTGTTCGAACTTCTACTTTGGCATCTAGATAGAATTAGAGGGAACAGATCGTTTAAAATATGAACAGAGCAAAATTATTTACATTATTATTAGTTTAGCAGACTCACTTCGTCCTGTTCTAGTTGGAGTAGATGGTTCAATAGGTGCTGTATTGAACGTAACACTCTTTCCAGGGGTACGAGCCAATTCACTTGCTGTGTAAAATTGCAATTAAGTTGAAAGACAAACTGGACTGGAAAAGAGTAAGTAATAATAGTTTTTGCACCTGTCTGAGCCATACTGTGTCCACGTCTACTTTTCTGAAAGGTGAAAATGGAAGATCCTGTTACACGAGACATACCCTCGTCATCATCTGTAAAATAAATAAATACAATAATAAAACTTATAGAATCATATATATTGAATGTATAGACATACTTATTTAGTTAATAGCATAGCAAGTCATGTAGTTACTTTCAGGTTACAGGGAGTAGCACACCTCACTAACTCTAAATACTATTCAAGTGCTAGTAAACATATTGACAAATGTAAAATTAAAGACCAACCTTCTGCTGCTAAAGCCTGTATATAATTTTCGTTCAGATGTCCGTTCCCTTCCCCATTCTCTTCACCATTCTGCTCTTTGTCGCGTCTACCAGCGGGACTCTTAAAAGTGACAATTTTCTGGACAGCCCCACTGCCGGGTTGATTCCCTTTAACAGAGACAATTAGTATTATTGATGAATACTTGTACATAGTAAAACATGACGCTACTTTAAAAAATATAATGCATACCCTCCTGTTTGTCCACAATGTGCTCCCGGACATCCTTATCTCCAATAAACTTCACCTCCAACCCACTCATCATAACTACAGACAAACATGGATAAATATGTAAATAAATATCATAACAAAAGTATAACACCAAAATACAGTAGCACGTAAACTTTTTATGTAGCATTAGCCTGTTATAGTAAGAGTAAGAACCGATCATAAAGACGGTGATCACACGACAAAACAGAACATCAAACCACGGGTCATACCAGATCGTAGTGCTTTATCCAAACTAAATTACTAATAATTACGGCAGAAAAATACACTAAAAATCGTAGCATGCGGCAGACAAGTTTCCGCGCCACCTCCATTAAGTTTTTAAACCACGTGACAAGTGAAAGGTCATGTTGAAACCAATGAAAAACTGAGTATCATGAAAACTACATGTCCCAAGATGCACTGCGTGCAAAACAAAACCTTACAGTTAAAACCACATGAATCAAGATGTTGATACCAAATCCATCCTACTTTAATATTTACGCAGTAAAAAGCCAAATATGTTATTATTTGTTATTTATTATTTGAAAAACTGAATAAATGAATAGATTAAATGTGGAATTTTAAAGATGCAATTATCACTTCAGCAGTTACATTTATGCACATCATCCTCCTGTTTATGCTTTATGCAGTTATAATAATGAAACAAATAAGGAGATATATTATCTATGTATACTACATGTTATCTAATATAATATATGTATATTACATTAGATAACATTATAGTTTACACAGTTTAAAAATTATTAGGAATTGGTTTAAAAATTGCTTCAATAATTCACCATCCACGTGTTGGTGTCCACTTTGCCACAAGTCTGTCTTTGCAGTGGACATAGTAAGTGGGGTGCATTGCTGCAGTTGCACAGGACTGAAAACAGAAAAGAAAATTTCAGTTGTATTAAAAATAGACATTAATTGTAAAATATTATAGAAGTTTAGATCACAGTCACTTACATGGTAAGGAATAAGTTTGAGCATTGTGCCCAAAGGATATTTGTTATAGTCCAGTTTTCCAGAGATGGGCTCAATTCGTCCATGCTCCTGAGTCATGGACAGCAGCCTAAGCATTATTTTACAAAAAGATTACCTCAGATTTTTCTGAACAAAGCAATGACAATAAAAGGTTAAATATACTTTAAATCTGGGTGTCCTTCCACTACAGCGTATCCAGATGGAAGTTTTCCTGCTCCATCAAGACTGAGGAAAAAAAGAAGCTTCCTTAACAAGGTTATTTTTTGATACAGTTATTACATAGATGATTTAAAATAAAATGATTATGAGGCATTTTAGTAGTATTTAACATTTTTTTATTATATTTATTTTTAATTTAAAAATGTTAAATTAGCCTATTACCTCAGTCCTGTCCATCCACAGTCAATGAGGAGCTGGTTTCTGTGAGGACAGTGACCAATGACTCGTGTCAAAACCCTAACGGCTACATCCTCTAAGCTGCAGGAGCCAATCATAGACTGCTGCACATCTGTAAAACACATAAAAGCTCTTGATTTACCATGATTAATATTGTGATATTATACCATAGATACACATACCATAAAATATGTAATTTCCTGGGTGAACTTCACTGAGTTGGGCCATGTCTGTGATTGGATGGCTACAGGAGGGTGTGGAGCCAATACTAGATTTGCAGGTGATGCCTACAGCCTTCAGTCTATAAGACACATTGACAAATTTCAATATTGATATTATGATGGTAAAACTACATGCAGTCTTATCAGAAGTTACATATTCTACACAGTGGCCACTCTCTACACTAACCTTTCCATAAACTGCAGTGTTAATGTGGTGGTTTCCTGAGCGACAGCCTGTATCTGCTCCACCCCTCTGCAGCTGTAGGTGTTACCGCAATGAGCGTAAACTCCAGTCAGCTCCACTCCTTCAGTAGCATAAATGGCCTGAGCTAGTGTAAGAGCCTCGGGCAGTGAGTGCAAAACACCAGCTACAGCAAAGCAAATAGAAATCAGACTAAAGTATTTTTAAGAATATTATAGATGTAACTTTTTTGGTGGAGGATCAGGCACCTGCACGTGTGCATAGAAATGCTTTTACCTTGTCTGTAATGTTACACAGCATGGCACTAAAATTATATATCTTGCATTATTACAGGTCTTTTTATTGTACAAAAATACCTAGACATGCATTTGTACTGTGAGTAGGCACTACTTTATTTAAGTTTAATACCATCCCCTGAAACACTCTGGGCAAAGCAATAATATGCTGACAGGTGGCAGACTTTTCACAAAGTCATGCAGTGAATCAATTTACTGTAACTGAGAGACCTCTTCCATTTCCACAGTCAAGCTTCATCCAAATGTGCCAGAGCCGCCCATCCCGCAGAGGCCTCTTTTTGAGTTGCTCCAAAGCATCAGGATGATCCAACAAAACCTGAAAGAGATCCAGCCTCTCGGACAATGCTGCACAACGCTCCACCTACAGGCAAATTTACAGTTATTACTACAAGCATTTTAAGACAATAAATATGTTTATAATAAGCAAGAAAACAGCAAGTAATTATAACTAAATGCAAATATGACAAGCAAATACATAAAGAAAAAAAGAAAACTGTAAAAACACTTCAAATTTGGATCTTGCCTTATCAAAAGGAATAGAATATGCATAAAGGATGTCCTCAAAACCATGGTCGGCATAGAAACAGGCCTCTGCCAAAGTGGAAACTACAATGCATCTCCGTGATCCACTGGTCATTATATCAGCACACTCACTGTAGGACAGAGCCATGGATGAGTCCACTGAATGTCTTTCATATCTGTGTTTCATATCTATCTATCCATCCATCCCTCTCTTTCTCTCTCTCTCACTCACTCTCGCTCTCTCACACTCACTCTCTCACTCACTATCTCACTAACTCTCACTCCCACTCTCACTCTCTCTCACACTCTCTCTTACTCTCTCACTCCCACTCTCTCACTCCCACTCTCTCTCACTCCACTCTCTCTCACACTCTCACTCTCTCTCACTCTCTCTCACACTCACTCTCTCTCACACTCACTCTCTCTCACACACACTCTCTCTCACACACTCTCTCTCACACACACTCTCTCTCACACACACTCTCTCTCACACACACTCTCTCTCACACACACTCTCTCTCACACACACTCTCTCTCACTTCCACTCTCACACGCTCTCTCTCTCTCTCTCTCACTCACTCACTCACTCTCTTGCTCTCTCTCTCTCTAGATAGATAGATAGATATAGGTGTACTACATTGTTTTGTGTGTCTTCATGTGTGGTCGAAGTTGTACTCCCAGCTCCTTGTAAAGTTCACTCATTCTCCCTGCATTTTTCTTTACTTTGTCGATGTCCACCACCAGAGCAGGAGTGCATAAGGATGAGATGAGGTCCCCCTCCATGATGAGAACACACTACACAAACAGGGTGTATAATTAGATTAGATGCATGACTGATCGCAGAACAGTGTGACCACATTAACAGTGTACAAAACAAAATTAAATCTCAAACCCTATATGAACAGGATATGAAAAAAAATTAGTAATCTATATATAAAATAACTAAAACATTATTGACATTTGTACTTTGTACAAATCAAAACAAAACTTAAATCCTCTATTTATGTAGGGCTTTAACAGTCTAACTTTCTACTTGTCCCGGACTGTGGTGAAGTTGGTTTCACATTGGACGTTGGCTATTCGCCTCCACAGCAACAGTGGAAGTTTCCACTGTCTGTGCCCCGCTTGCTCTAGCACTGTGTGGAGAACTTTATTTTAATACTGGAAAATTAGAAGATACAAACAAATTGGCAACATTAAATGGTCAAGTAATGATGTATGACAAATGAGGTCAAACAGGAACAACGTAAATAACAATAAAATAAAATAAGTTAAATTAGGTGCTCTAAGAGTTCATAGTAGTGATAAGTTCTTTTAGAATGATAGCATTCTTGCTGTCCATAAAGATAAGAGAGGCAAAAAAAAAGTTGCAGGTCTTTGATAATGTGATTTTTACAATCTGTGATTTTTTTCAATAGCTTCTAAGGCAGGTGACATTGTAACCCCAATCCAAGTTATTATAGTAGTCCTAGTCCTCAAGTATCAAGCACATCTTTTGGATTTCAAAATTAACTCTTTGTGGCACTTTTATGCATTTGTTTCCTTTGAAAATCAGTGATTTTTTTTCAATAGCTTCTAAGGCAGGTAACATAGCAAGTTATTATAATAGTCCTAGTCCTTGAGTATCATGCACACCTTTTAGATTTCCAAATTAACCATTTTGGTTTGGGGTTGCTAGATTACCTGCTTTAGAAGCTATTGAAAAGGAAATCACAGATTTTCAAGCGGGAAAAATTTTGAAAGTCCCACAAAGGGTTTATTTGGAAATCCAAAAGGTGTGCGTGATTCCTGAGGACTACTCTTAAACTGTATGGAGTTTTTAGGTTACTTGACCTGGAAGATAATGAAAAAAATGCATTAATTAACCCTCAAAATACATAAAAATTTGCATAATGCCCTTTTTTATTTTTATAATTTTATTTTGTTTTAAGTGTTTGTTTGCTTGTTGTTGTTTTTTTTGTTTTTTTTTGTTTACATTTGACAATTTCAATTGATAAATATTTTTAAATCAAACTCCATTCACTAAAACGGTAAGTTCTTGACGGTCCCTAACCAGCGTACTTAGCGGGGCTTCGGAATACAGCTCCCCGCACCGTGATAAGAGCCATGGACCTATAATTCCGTTAGAGCAAGTGGGGCACAGACAGTGGAAACCTCCGCTGTTGTTGCGGAGGCGAATATTCAACTTCCAACGTGAAACCCACTTCATTAAGGTCTATTCCGGCTCATCTTACTTCAAACTTGGGCATTTGAGGTTGCCTTGTTACATAAAATAACCTTTGAACTCTGTAACCTAACCACTGTAACTATACTAATAATTTGTATTAATAATATAGTTTATAGTTAAAGAAAGAAGGTCCTGTCAATTTCCAAAACGCACCATGTACTGATGTAAACGCAGAACTCACCACTGGCTCTTGTTTCTCTTTTTGAGAGTGAAGTTCATAAACTCCTCTGGAGGATCATATGACGACTACGGAATCCCATATGACCAAAACTAATATTGACGGAGTGTCCAGCAGAGGGAGACAAAGCACTATACTTTGCACCAGGCCATGAATTAGACATTATAATGCTAATTATTATTAATTATCGTTATTTTAATAGATCCATGATAACTTTGGGAACATAAAAGACAATAAAACAAACATAATTTTAAAAATAAACAATATGAAGCCAAACAACCATTTCTCAGGTCATCTGCATAGTTTGCAAAGATTTATACTCTCAGATTTAACTTCCTCCCTGTTAAGGATATCCAATGGGTTCATATGCAGTATGCCATAAACAGGTCAGTTATTCACAAATGGATATATACCTTAACACCTATATCCTGCCACGCATACTCAATAGATGCAGCATAATCCATCCTAATAAAGATGGTTGAAAAGTTATTTATTAATGTACTAGTACTGTAAAGTATAAATGAAAGACAATTTTGGGTTCACCAAGTTAGAGTTTATTTGGATTTGTACATTCTGATTGTACATTTGACATTTCTTTGTGATTGTGAATGTTGAAAAAAGTGTGCATGAGTGAAAATGTGAGATGTTCGTGTTTTGGCGTAGGGCGTGCTTGTGCTTGTATCCCTGGGAAAAAAAACGTCTTCAGCATAAACAACCTATATTAAGTAGTTACTTTATGGAGTAAACATTTCAAAACCAGTCACATGGCTTTCTCCTTTTTAGCACCTTTAATGAATATACTGACTTACATGACAAACAGTGAAAAACCTTTTTGGAAATGGAAACTAAATGAGAACAAAATAAAGCCCCAAGTTACACATTCAATAATCATAGACCTCCTTTAGGACAGTGTTGATGTCTTTGGGTGGGGAGTCTTTGGTTGTTCATGGGATGAACAGAACACTGAACTATGCAGTTTGTGTGTGTCTTTTCATGTACATGGACTAGTTGGATTGAAATTACCTTTCAGCAGTAACCCAGTGCCTCCCATCTGGTAAAATCTTAACTGTACAGTAACACTGGTGCTGGGCCTGTCCTATGGATAGTTACTGTGGTGGTAAGCATTACAGGCCTAGCATATCCACTAGCATATCCAGCGGAAGAACCGCTCAAAAAATGCTGGTTTGTTCAGCATGGAATAGTCGGATCCTCTGAAAATAGCTGTCATGTCTCCAAGCGCCACCTTTCTCAGCACTTCCTCATCTGTGTCTGAGCCCATGGCGATCACCGTGGGAACACCCTCTGCCCTCCTCATGGCTGACACACCCTCCTCCAGTTGCTCAGTTGAAGTGATGCCATCAGTGATGAAAACAAAAGCCACTTCAGCATTACGTCGAGCCACACGATCTCGCTGCAACACAATAGTGAAGTTTTACAAAAAGAATCAGGCAAGCAGCTACAAGACAACTTCTGCATCACTTATGATCAAGACAATCAGGACGAGCTTCAAGCTTTTAATCACTGTTACCTGAGAGAGAACTAGGTTGTTGACTGCATAGATGATGGCACTGCCCAGAGCAGAGGAGGAGTCCATGTACTTGACAGCAGCCAGTGAATCAGCGATCTCAGTGAGGTTGTGTTTGAGGGCAAACTCCACTCTCTGCTCCGTGGGGCTGCCATACTGCAGGAGAGCCACACGGGCGTTCTTCTCGTCTGAAGGACCATTAGCCAAAGTCAGGCGGCGAGCCACGTTCTCGATGAACTCTTTGGCGTGACGGTGGTTCTCCAGACCCATCCTCTCTGAGCCGTCCAACAGGAACACTATATCCACAGGCCTCTGGACACAACTGGCAACAGCTGGCTCTGAACACAACATAAAAGTTCAAATCAGACGTGGTATTCTGCTCACTGCAGCTTGTACCCAGATGTCCAGGATCAAAGACTGAGTAACCCTCTGTAAAGTGCGGTATGGTATTAAAAACCAGAAAGAAACACATAAATACAGAAAGAACAGCTGGCATGCAAATCATGCACCAATTAAAGCCATTTAAATCAGCATCATTAAAGCTCATGTTTAATTTTATGATAAATAAAACAGACCTTTCCGTTCCACAAGAATCTATATGTGCAAAGGAGCAACGTAAATATAAGAATAAAACAGTGTTTTAATGACAGTTAAGGACAGCTTCTGCATCAAGATTTCATTTATACCTTTAAAAATATAAAGCCCTATAAAGTAGTGATGACTTTCACAGTGCTCTACACTGCATTAAAGCGCAGCACCACTCAAAAATAAATAGCCATATATTTAGAGAATGTATACTAACTAGCGGACAATTTTACATCCGACAACTATTATCCTACATTTGTTTGAAAATGCATTTCACAAAGCTCACTTTTCTTTAGAGGTAATATTCAAGACCTTGGGTCTGTCCTGTCCTATACAGTAAATACCATGGAAGCAGCATGCATGTGTTTCCGTAAGTTCAGGTGTAAAACACCTTCCAGCTTTTTACACAATGCAAAGAAAAATGTTTTGCTAAAAATCTGTAGGAGCTTAATAAGCATATTAGTCAAGATCCATGTCAAGTCGCTATCAGTCTCTTATAATGAGGTAGCGTGGTTAGCAGTTAGCAGAGTTTTATGGCTTTCTCTGGATCGCCCATAATGTCTGCATAGACATATTTGAAGGAGTCGATGAACATCTGTGTCCATTGGTGTTTTTCTGCGCCGCGGGCGAGCTTGGCTCTCTGCGCTGCATACGCCATGGTGGCCACGCCCACTCCATACTGCTGCTCTTTCAGGCTGCCCAGCAGGCCGGCCACACCCTCCACTGAGGTGGGCACAAAGGAGGGACTGCCATCCACTGCCTGGGGTTTCCAAGGGGGAGGGGCTTCCCAAGTAACGCCCCTTCCTGCAAGAAGCAGGTGAATAACATTGTGGGCGATGTCCCACAGATGCATCATCATCTCAGACAATTTAGAGGCTGAAGGCAGATTAGGTGCAGCAGGGCAAAGACTCTGGACCATATCTGAACCATTGTAGCCAAGTAATGGCTGGCTGTATTTTTTTCTTGGTTAGTGTTACTCTTACCTGATTTACAAGGTAGTTCAGGACACACCACAACAGGATCTGAAACAAACAAAAATGTAATTTTAGACTTTTAGAATGTCATTTTAGAATGTGATGCACTGATGTGATGATGTGTGACTCTACCAGGGCAGAGGACTGTCTCAATCTTGTCGATGAACTCTTCAGCCACGAGGTCAGCAAAACGCCTCATGCCCAGGACCCTGCCATCCCTCTGACAGGCAATACTCTTCAGGATCTCATTCTCCTCGACTTGGTCAAACATGTCTCCAATGCCAATAGCGCTCACGTCAACACGTGAGTCACTGCCAGAGGAAAAACAGTTAAATTTTTCTGACTACACAAACATGCTATCTTATGTTATGAGTGATAGTCACCTGCACAGGTAAGTGAGCAGTGTGTCATTGTCTCTGGGGTCAAAGCGCCCATCTGTGATCACCACCACAGTGACATTGGCTTTGGCTCTTCGGCTGTCCCGGATCAGGTTGTCATAGGCATATTTCAGAGCAGAGGGAGTCCAGGTTCCTCCAGCAATCCACTCCAAACGCTTTACTGCATCCTGAAAATAAACAACAGAGAAACATGGTACTGGGTTAAATAAGCTGTATAAAAAGTGGACTAAGCGAATGTGACGTCCCCCACAGTGTTCAGCACCAATCAAATGAAGCTCATGATGCTGGCGGTTATGGGAGAATTTGGTGCCAGGCTCAATATTATGAATTTGAATTTTTGAATGTATAAAATAGCGCAAAAAACATGAGGATCATGTAGAGCAGGTTAATACAAACGTTTTAGGACTAAAATGATGAGGCTCATGCAGCAGTTACAAAAAGAGGGGCCACAATATTCCAATGTAAGTCAATGGGAGCCAGGGTCAGTAGGAGCCAGAAGTGCCCGTGCTTTTCCATGAACTTTCAGTTTATTTAGACATAGGATTTACACAAAAAATATACAGAATTTTGTGTCCTTTTAATTTCATTGCCCTCCTTTATTCTTAAAATCTTTTTTGATCACTAAATGTGATAGTATGTATATTTCATTGCATGGAAGATGAACCAAAAGATAAAGAGTGTGCTGATTTGACCAATTAACAACATTAGAGAGGAGAGAACTGTCTGAGCGAGGTCTGAAGAAGAGAGTTCAAAGCCCTTTCATGTGTTTGTGTGAAAGACCTTAAACTTTGATAATGAATCAATCTTGGGGTCGTCAAGACGGATGGCCTGGAAGGTCCCACTGTGACTATACTGAACAACTCCCACTCGCGTGCCTGCAAGCAATGTTCATAGCATTCATTTGTGCTTTGTTCATAGTTTTGAGAGAGGCGAAATAAGGTCACAGTGATGTACCTGACTCTGCATTGGGATCTGTGGCAAGGGATCCAAGTCTGTTTATGGTGTTGATGACAAAGTTTTTCTCTAAAGTGAAGTTGGTAAGTCCCACTGATTCTGAGCTGTCAATCACAAACACAATGTCCAAGGCTCCACAACGTTTCTCACAGTCTGAAAACAAATGCACACAAACAAAAAAGTAATAATTACATCAACATTTCAAACCCCTCTGAAGTTTCTCAAGTCCCTAAACTCACCACAACAGCCGCATGTCTCTCGGATGTAATTCATCACGTCACATTCCTGATAAACAAAGAAACAAACAAACATTAATATCCACCAGGACATGTCTTTCTAAATATACAGTATGTCATAAAAACATTAATGTTCTTACTGTCAGACCAGGATCTCCCTCAGGGCCAGGATCCCCCTAAAGTGTTTAAAAAATCATGTTTTAATTCTAAAAGAGGTCCTATATTAAGTGGTTATGTGGAACTGTATTATGACGGCTTACTAAGCCTTCATTTTAGAAGAAGGTGCAAACAAAAAATGATGTGTTATAATTCTGTTTTTTACTATTAGAGCTGATTAATGCATAAAGTCTCAGTTTTCAACACACAGTATAGGCTGTTTTAGTGATTTTGAATTTACTTACATCACGACCACTCGGTCCTCGTGGACCCCTTGGACCAGGTTCACCGCTAGGTCCTGGCTCGCCCTAAGAGTTAAGGACATACATTAAAAACCGTTTGACTGTTTGATTACTTTGGCATGAAGCTTTATAGATAGATACTCACTGGTTCTCCTGGAACACCTTTAACGCCTGGTTCACCCTTCTGCCCACAGTCTCCTCTGCTCCCACGGGGTCCTCGGTTTCCCTTCTCACCTTTTTCTCCCTAAAATCATATTAGTGTTAGTTTTATATCAGCTTTAGGACCAAATTATTAGCTGTGTTTCTTACTGATGGGCCTCGTGATCCAGGAAAACTAAATCCAGGTCTTCCAGTATCTCCCTGGATGAGATTACATTACAAGTTAAAATCATAATTATAGCAGGATTAGCAGGATTTTAAGAATGAAGACACACTTACTTTTGGTCCTGCAAGGCCGGGCTCGCCTCGTGGTCCAGCATCACCAGGATCTCCTCTGGTTCCCTGCAGCACAAATTAAATGGTAAAAAAAATCTAGGTAATTATTATAAATATATATCCGATTAAGTTTGGTCATGTGACTTACATTGCGTCCAGCCTCTCCAGGGGACCCAGGTGGTCCTCTGGGTCCAGGCAAACCTGAATCTCCCTGCAGTGGCAAAAGGACAACAAGAAAAGAGCTGTAACTATAAAATTGGTCAGTGAGTTTTACAATTTTTAGAATACTGTCATGGAACACAGATCCAGTTGAGCACAAGTTCATTAAAAGTACATTCTCACCTTTTGCCCTTGAGTTCCAGGGTCACCGGGGAATCCTCTCAAACCCTCTGGTCCTGTTTCACCCTGAAACAGTAATCACAGCATATGTTATGGTTATAAATATGATACAAAAGTGGTTTAAAACAAGAATCTTTGTGACAGAACATACCTGTTCACCTGCAGGACCTGCTGGCCCCTGAGCGCCCTTTGGCCCAGAGTCCCCTCTTCTTCCCTATGAAGAGAAAGCTAAAGTTAGACAATGAACAAATTGGTGCTGGGTATTACAGTTTAAATCATATAAAAAGATTTTATGCACAAAATAAATGTCTTACTGGCTCTCCTCTGGGCCCAGCTAGTCCAGGAGCCCCCTAAAACAAAACTGAGTTGAGCCACAATCACATGATACTTGCATATGTGTGTGTTTGTGTGTATGTGTATGAATAGTACCTTAGGTCCTTTTTGTCCAGGGGGGCCGGGTGATCCAGGATTTCCTCTCTCCCCCTTTAAAAGGGAGATATATAACTAATTTCAGCTCTTTACAATCAATGCAATATTTTTTTGATTCATATTATTATACATTTTACCTCTGGTCCAGAATCTCCTGCCTCTCCAAGTGGGCCAGATCTCCCAGGTCGACCAGAATCTCCCTACAGAAAAAACAAACCCTACATTAATTTTTTTCTAAGTAGGAATTATATGTGATATTATAGTACAAATATACATACCTTCTCTCCTTCAGTTCCAGGAGGACCACGCTCACCCACATCTCCAGGATAACCATCAGCACCCTTAAAATAAAACACATGAATCAAAGTACTTTCACATGAGAAGAACAGTGACAGTAATAATGATGACAATAAGGCCTCACTCTGTCGCCTGGGTCTCCTTTGCAGCCAGGTGCGCCAATGCGTCCCATTTTACCCTAAAACAAAAAAGCACAGGTAGGCATCATACATTAAGTTACTCATTCTGTACATTTAAAAGTCAGATTAAACTTGAATTAGGGGTACATTATTTTGCCTGGTAAAGCCTACTCAAACAAATTATACCTTTTGTCCATCTCTTCCATCACGTCCTTTTTCACCATCTGCGCCCTGAAGTCAGAGTACAAATAAGATGTAGATGCCATATTTATAACGTAGCAATCAAATCTTGTGTTTAATAAGAAACTGTGAATCACCTTCTTCCCCTGAGCTCCCATCTCTCCCTGTAAAAGACAGAATCATGTTACTCAAAATGTCAATCATCACAATGATAATTCATTTGATTTTTCACAAATATAAATATGGCAAACCTTATCGCCTTTTAGACCAGGTTCTCCCTAAATGAAGGACACAAAGCAGAAATAAGTTGCAGTATTTGAAGTAAATTCTGGTTGTCATATTATAGATACATATTAGGGGTCTTACTTTGATACCGGGCTGACCAATGGGACCCTCAATACCAGGATCTCCTGGGCGACCCCTTTCTCCCTTTAGCCCTGGTTCTCCATTGTCTCCTTTTGCTCCCTGTTTAAAAACAAACAAATTTTTGTTAGTTAAAAGTCATTTTTGTAATGTTTAATAATTTCAATGTAAAATTCTCACTTTTTGTCCTCTGTGGCCTTTTGGACCAGGAGGTCCAGGCGTCTCCAGACAGGACACGCTGTAGCACTGTGTTGTGAGGAGCAAAGCAATTGTAAATATAGTTACTGATGGTTGTTTGATGTGGTTAGGATTTGCCATTAATGATCTGAAGTCTTACCTCAGTGTAGGCCAAATGTTTCTGTGTAAACATAAAAGAGAAATTGTGTTAGAGAGAATTATAATAATTTTATTTATGTTTTTCATATCCATGCAATACCATAGTTTTAATGATGCGGTCTATTGTTTTGTCCTGAATTATCGCCCTCCCCTGGCTCAAATCCACAGCCATGAATTCATTCCTGTAGACTGCTGCTGGTGAATTGGCGATCTCCTTCAGTCCATTCTCATCCACGTTCTTTGAAGCTGCCACAACAAAGATGCGAATGCCTTCGTCGCGAGCTTTCTCTGCTGCCACTTTGATGCCTCCACATGGGTTTCCTGTCACATGACCATCTGTGATGACCACAGCAAAGCGCAGAGCTTTGGAGTTTGTGGAGGATGAGCGCACCATCTGCTGGGTCATGTTGGTGAGGGCGCAGTCGGTGTAGGTGCCCTTCCCCAGGTAACGGATATTTAAGACCCTCTATTGACAGAAGAGAAGGCATCACCAATTAACAAACCATGTAGCACAACAATTATCAGTGAAGTATTCATGTTAGTGTGGGACAACTAAAGTGGGAACATGGTGTTTTAATAAGATAACTTTACTGTTGCTTGTCTAATTTTTTTTTGTTTTTTGCAATTTTAGAGCTTAAATAAATTTTCAGCTTTGTGGTCTCTCAAAAAGTGGGTGAGTGGATGCTGCTAACTATTGGTTGAACTGTGCCACTGCATTTTAAAAGACATGTGACATCATACACCTCTGATTTCATGAGACAAACTTGCAGGAGTGGACTTTGAAGTGCAAGTCAAGCTGTTCCTAGTTGGTCCAGACTGACCTCCCCCCTTTAATCCTCCAGTGATTAAATTGTGTAGTAAATTGCCTAAATATGTGTCTGATTGATATATACTCACTTTATACTATGGCTAATAGATTAACAAATTAAGTTAATTGTTTGACTCACACTAATGAACTCGCTCTTAGAGGCCATGTCGCTGAACACTTCCTGTCTCTGTGAGAAGTGAAGTCCTCCGAGGCGCCAGCTGATTTTCACTGCTCCTCTGAACTCAAGGTCTTCCAGACGCTCTGCAAAAAGCCTTGTGAATGACTGCAGACACAAACAGGGCCGATTAATACAATAACAGTATAAGGTCAATCCAGGACACTGTATGGAGACGGGAGGATACCTTGATACTCTCCACCAGTGATCCAGGGGGTGGCTCCTGTAGAGCGATGGTCTCGGATGTGTCAATCGTAAAGTACACATCAATGGGACATTCATTTCTTTCTGCATGAAATACAAACAAACATTTATCTGATGAAAATGCTTTCTGTACAGTTGTTTGTGGTTAAAATGTAGACTACTCACTGGTGCACTCTGGAGCCTGACCGTGTGTCAAAGCTCCAAAGAGCAGACAGAGGGCGATAACCTCTAAGCCCATCATCTTCTCCTGAAAGACAGAGGACACACAAAAGCTCAATGACTTTCAGATGACATCACAACAGGCTACTGGGGCGATGGGCAGCTGGGCCTTGATTGGAACAAATGATGATGTGGCTATTGTGGTTAAGCGAACTTAAATGATCGATGCACTAAATAATATTTTACCAATTGTGGATTTTGTTTTGGCTACTTAATGGAAATATTTTATAATCAAGCAACTGCACCCTGCCCAGTTGTCCCCATGTGACACATGACTGCTGACACATACCTGGCCTTAGAAGCAGATGAACAAAAATAATCACACATTAGCTAGATCACTTTTCCAGCTTTGGTAAATGAGCAAAATGGCTATTATAGGCCTACTAGTTGGAAAATTTTGAAATGTATACACACACACACCCATATATAGGACTATTCTACATAACTCCCCGAAGTGAAATCTCGCAGGGAATGGCCTAAGCCTATCATGTTGTTGTGACACTGTCAGATAGTTTGGCGAAACGACAGAAAAGGATATAGATCAACTAGATATGAGACATCATGACAAGTAATGTTGCTCCGTTTGCATTCTTTTTCAAAACCTCCCCTCTTACCAATACGATTCCCAACATTAACTAAATAGGCCTACATGATATGACCGGCTTCCAGTCTAGACTGAGAGCCAACAGAGAACATCAGGCGTCATGACACGAAACTCTGCTGCCCCCTAGTGAGACCTGTTTTACAGAAAAAGTGCTAGTTTTACCAGAAGACATACGCCTCAATATGGTTAGATTTGGATTCTTACTTGTGTCTCATATTTAAATTGAGGTCAATGCTTTCGTTAGGCCTATATATTTCTATAGCCTAATTGCTATTGCGGATGATTCCACTTGGCCTATTGAGAAACTAAGAATACTACTGCCTGGAGCTAATGATTGAGCTAATTTAGCTTAAATCAAACCAAACCACAGATATAATCGCAAGTGTAAGGAGTAGCCCATAGGTGTGAATATGATGCCGTCAGTGGCTACAACAATAACCATCTCCATCTCCATGCCGTGTTTATAGCTTTTATAGCCACTTTAGTGTGCCCTTTTTTCAAATTTGAATATATTTACCTCTATGATAAATTATGTGACCAAGTCTACAGTTACAGAGTGATCTGTCTCCCTCTAGCAGGCTGCGCGCAGCTGCGTGGAACTCGGCTGTGCAGATGTTCTCGGATCCAACAAAAGAGTGGAAAAGAGTGGAAACATATTGTCCAAGGTAATTAGAAATCAGCTAAGTCCTGCAAGGCATGCATCTTAAGGCTTGTTTTCTCAAGTAAAAAAAATAAAAATAAATCGCAAAAAACGCTTACTGCGTTCAGGACCAAGAGTATTCAGGTATCCAGTAGAGCACTCAAAATTGCGCACAACTGAAATATTGCCTTTATTTTGTTCGTAATTATGTTTAGCTTAAAACAGTCCAGAGAGTGAGTTTAATAAAGCGATCAGAAAGAAACATCAGACAAAGATTTATGTACAAGTATGAACAGGGAGACATTGCACGTTTCTGTGCGTAAAAGTGTTGCTTACCCAAAATCTTTCCAACAAGTTTTGTCCTTGGTGCGCAACTGGTCTTCGGTAGACTACCTCCGCATTTCAAGTAGGGAAAAAGCCAAAATAAAAAAACAAAACAAAAACAAAGAGGGGAACGGGGCAAAGTAAACGGGAATTAAACCGCTGGATGTACGCTTAGTTCCCGTAGAAGAGCCGTCCGTTCGCCCTGCCGTCCCGGTCCAGCCCAAGCAAAAGGCTCAGATCCCTCCTCCTGCACGCGCGCCGTGCACGACAGTCCCCAACATCCCCACTTGGAGGCGCCGTGGCTCTGCAACAACAATCGCGTGCACGCGTTTACCTCTCCCACACACGCGCACCAATAAAGGAACGTGTGAGTGCAGCTGGAGATGCGAACCATACTCCCTTCACCTGAACCAGCCCCTGACATTAAGCCCACTTTAAATTCATTTGGGAAAACCACTGGTCCTTTGTAACACCCTTTACCGTCACTCACTGGGACCCGTAGGAAGTGAACGAATCTCACATATGGAAGAGATCAGGGGATTTTGTTTTCGTACCAGGCAACAGTGTTGAAGGGTTTTCTGCAGGTGATCTCTCTAACCCACATAAAAGGGATTTCAGAACGTAATCTCAATAACACTTAAATTACATTCACCAAGGCTAAATTGTAAACCTGACAAATAGTGGCCCTGCTGTGACCATGTGAAAAACAGGATATTTACAAAACCAAGACTCAACTTATGACCAAACTCAGGTATAAACTTAAGATTTAGGATTCTATACCCAAATAATCTGGAAATGCTCACTCATGTTTGGCCCTTTGCTACATTCTTGGATAAATCACAAAGAAACCCCCCACTCACATAAATGCACGGACCTCATAATTTGTGTCACTGGTCTGGTTGCAATTAGTAGGCCTATGAGACAAGTTTACAGTGAGTGTAAACAGTGTCAAACCGTCCATGCGTCTGTTCTCCTTGTTTAGTTGTAGTTTCCTCATTGTCACGAAGTGGGAGGTCTCAGCATAGACAGCCATTTACATATAATTTAAAGCATATTCAGCAGCATTGTTGTGATGTGATGAGACAGACAACTTACACAACTTGTATCAAACCATCCAATCCCGCATTAAGTGCAAACACAGAGGCAGTGGAGCATTTCTACTGATGACTTCTCCAGGACTCTTGACAAGAACAGCTGGGCTCACATCCGCTACATGATTATCAATTAGACCAAGGCCATAATGAAGCTATTAGGAGGATTTATAACTGTGGACAGACAACAAAGTAAGTCCGGATCAAGACAAATGACCTCCAATTAAACAACAACAAATAAAGTCATTGTCTTTCATCCATAATTTTTAGTAAAGATAGATAAACAGAAACAGGAGATTTAACTTTCTTTTTTACTTTTCAGCACTGTACCATGGAACTATGGGCCTTAAATAGTTAGTTACAGTGTAGAATCAATGACTCCATGAGACGTGAACCATCATTAATTTACTCTGGAAAAATGTGGAGTCCAAGTCCCCAGTTATGCACGTAAACAAAACCACCTGTTGCCCTGTGCAGAAAACTGTTTGTCTCCATGGTGATACTTTTACACTGCCTAGAATGTTCCATGATGTGTCTCCATGGAAACAAGCAGCTGACACCCACAAGTCAAGGTACAAAACAATAACTCCAAGGAGACAAGCAGGTGACGGACCCACCCTCCGTCCACCCAACAGGAGAGTTACATCACCTTTTACTACATATTAACCGAATTGAGTTTATTAATTCTTGGTTTAAAAGCTTCTACATTGTTGCAGCCTAATCTTAGAATTTACATTTTAAACATTGCTTAAATGTTTAATGAAAAACTTTTACTTTTTATGTACAATTTTACATGATACTTTCACTTTTGTAACTTTTTGTTTTCTCTAAAAAGTAAATAAATTAACTATTTCTTCAGCAGAAGTTCAGTAGTAGTTGGAGTTGGACTGAGAACATAAACCTATTGTATGAGAAGTTTAAGTGATAGCGAGGAGGCCAGCTGCAGACCAGAGATATATCCATGAAGCTCCTCTTTGGATCTTGGCTTGAGAATGGATTTTTCCTTAAAAAGAAAAGAAGACTGCAGTGAGAGAGGATGGAGAGATGTGTGTGTATGGAGGGGGGCCTGTTCTGCTTTAAATGTGTGACTCATAGAAAAGGAATGGCCCTCCCTCGTTCCCAAAAAACAGTTAGCCAGCTCTCACACACAAAGTCTTGTATTTTATTTTTCCTTTATTTTTTCACATGGGGTATAAAGCACCATTGAGTCTTGAGGGATTTGACTGTAATCAGATGCAGAATCACAAACAACATCGACATCTTTTCTCTCACTGTGTCCTGCTGAAAAGTTACATTTCCTGCAAGTGGATCCAGAGCCACACAAACCAGAAGTACATGAAAGAGAAGATCAGAACATAGTCAGGTCATGAGTGTTCGGTGTCAGTAGTGATGTGACAGGTGTAAGGGTGAAATGCAGTGAGGCCAAATCAGGACAGTCCCATGTAACAAAGGTTTGTGTTAAAGTAAGCATTGAGAGCTTTGAAATATACTGAAGCATCTAAGCATTGTCCTTTGTTATGTTTGTATTTTTGTCCGCTGTTGTTAACAACATCCTTATTAAACTTATCTTGAGTATTTTTGGATAACATGAGGCAAAACTGCTTACACAGCATAGTGGGAATCCCCATCTTATTTTCCCTCTTTAGCTTTTATTGGGATGTTTTTAACTGTGTAGTTCTTTGTTGCAGTAAAACAGAAAAAAAAGTTTAAAAAGAAAAACATAGCCTACGTAACTTGTGCCATTGGTTAGAGCAATTTCAAAAGTCTGAATTTGAACTCTTCTGTTAAGAACCAAAAAATTAGCAGGGACCAAAAGCTCTGGAGCTGCTTTCATATTGCAACTATTAGCTGAAAATAGCACTGCCTATCAACTATAGACCTTTGAGGGGGTACAGCTGACCAAGCTGCAAAAAATAACCATTAAACTGCACTGGATAGAAGAGTCCATAACCTGCAAATCCAGTTCAACAGAAACAAACACAGCTGAACTTTAGCGTATTATGGCCTTGAGGACTGAGACCCTCCACAGGCCTTTAGCCTTTTTAGCCCTCACTTGCTATGGTAACAAATCATAATGCAAACTTGTAAGACCAAACAGGGGTAGTCTGAACTGTACCAATATGATATACAAGATATACAGTAAACAGGCCATGTAATTTGCCCTGTTGTCATGAATGTGCACATGTTCAAAATTAAATCCAGATTGGCTCAAAGGCTGTTTTATTGATTGGAACTTTTTCTTATATCTTTATTTAGTTGTAACAGGAGCAAGATCTGGACATTTGAGAGAGCTGAAAAACTGAAAACCCACATTTCTAGGTGAGATGAAATCAAGATGTTTTCTTGAGAAATCGTAGTAAAAAAAAGTTTAACTCAAAACAACTGTTTAAGAGATATTATAACAAACAACTATTGTGTCCGATGTACAATTTTAAGCCAAATGTTGCTTAAAGAACAAAATATTCGATGTGGACAGCGCTGGCTCCTCTTTGCTTTTCATTGGAATCTCTTCCTTCCTTTGCGCAGATGTGCGCTGTGTTCAGACAGGGCAGCTGGGAGTCGTTTTCAGCGGCGTGCACAGATCTGCTCTTGTGCACGCTCAAGTCCATGTGCAAAGCGTATGTCACCATTACCAGTGAATTTCAGTGGAAAAGGAGGTAGAGTTCAGACAGAAGGCAGTCAGAAGAGATCTCAGGCAAGGGGCTTCAGTGTGGCTTCACCAAACAGGAACCGGGGGAAATTGAGTCTCAAAAATAGGAGTGAAGAGCCAAGATAAATTTATAAGGAGCAGCACCCCGCCCCCCCCCACACACACACACACACAGGCACAGCCCAGATATAAAGCTAGGAAAAATCACATATTTTCTCTTAAAACTTAAATTTAAATTCCGGGGCTCAAAGGGTCACAGATAGGGTGAACCACGGCATGACAATAAGCAGGTAGGCCTGTCACAGGGACCTAATGTAGTAGCAATAGTAGACTTCAATGATTTTAACTTATTAATTATCCAGAGCATAGATAGATAGAGCTTTGTTTTCACTATCAGTACACAAAATACACATATCAATAAGACAACGTGTGTGTGTGTGTGTGTGTGTGTGCGTGTGCGTGCGTGTGTGTTTCTATTAAATTCCATTAACCTTATTCTCTGCATCATATAGCCCACTAAAGCAATGGACTGGTTATATATAAATTGCTGCTTCATTGCTAACATGCTTTTTAGCGTTGCCCCATATTTAATTAGTATGTCTTATCAATCCTCCTATCTTAAATATCAGGATGTGTCTGAAATGCCTAGAGTCAGACAGGCACACCCATCGGCCCAAATAAACAAATCAAAGTCAGTGGACAAATCTGATAAAGGCCGTTTAGTCTCTTCAGCAGCACAGGAAAAGTTTGTCACTCACTGTGCACGAGCACGAGCACGAGCAGGAATACATGAGATCAAAAACACTGGATTAATAGAAAACACATGCGCTTTTATGAGAGCTCTGAGTTCAGCATCCCGTTATGTTGGCTGTTTATTTGCTGTGCTCTCATTTGTGTAGAAATAGAGGTGTGACTATGCAGCGGTGCAATGCTGAAGTAAGGTTTCTTTTCTTCCGTACAGTTTTTTGGCAGGGGTCAGAGGTCGTGTTCAGTAGCACAGGGAGGTCCAGAGAACAAGTGCAGAGATCATAGTGGATACTTGTAAAAGTCCAGGTAAGGCAGGGGTCATGGTCATTTCCATTTCTGGGGGAGCCTAGCTCAAGATCTGAAGATGCATTGGCACTGAAATATTGGTCAAATGCAGAGATAGTAACTGTACCTTATATTACCGTTATTGCTAAATGTGCAGATACAATTTCACACTACTATAAAGTGTACTCAAATGAATGTTTGAGGTGATAGTGGCTCAGTTCAATTCTATCTCTGATAATCTTACAATGCAATTGTGTCTTTGAGCAAAGCACTTCACAATAAGTATAAGTAAGGCATGTAATTGATAGTGATTGGAGATGCTGTTGGAACAGAGTGGCTGTCACGTTAACATGTGACCTTAACAGAAAAGTGTTCTTTTTTATATTCTGACTAAAAAGAAGATATACTTATTGCTTTAGTATTATCATGTATGCCTATTTCTGTTTATTAAAACGATTATATTTTTTTCATTTATAATACTAAGTCTGCCACTGAGGTGAAGTAATTACAAATACAGACATGAAAAATACACCAATCAAAATAGTTCTGGTGTAGCAACTTTTATTGGGGGGCTCTTACAGCACAGAGGGCTGGAGAGCTTAAATTGTATTTAAGTGTACAGATTTAATATGATCAATAGAGACTTAGACCCAGTACAATGCTGTATGTTTGTGTCTGATGTGTTCTCCTGTGTCATTGATGAAGTATCAAGGTGTGTGTTTGACAGAAGTAAATGGGGACCAGCTTTCTGCCATTTCAATCAGGGGTCCCTCCACTGTTTACGTAACATTGCCCAAGGGTTCTGAGTGAAAATTACCTCCATCCGTGCAAAAGCAGTACACTATAGCACAGGTCAGTACATACACATTCACAGCTGTTGGGTCCTCATCAGTCTTAGGTTAAAGGTCATGTTTTTTTTAAATTAGCCAATCTAATAGCGATTTCAAGTGGTGTGGAAGTGCTTAAAGAGAGGCTTAAGTGACCATGGCTCAGCCCTGAATGTTTTTAACTATGTCTCAGGTGATTTAATTTGGCTTTTTTGCAGTGAAATTATGATTACTAAAGAAGTACATAAGGGAAATGTGAATCCACCACTTGAACGCAAGGACAAATTGGTTAATTTGATGCAATTATGAAGTTAGGTTTGGCCTGTTAAGGTTAGATAGTGATCCAGGATGCAGAATACCTGAGTTCAGATCTGATCAAAAGTTACACACCATTCTAAAAGTAACAAAATCTGATGACCTCAACCCTGAACTTTGCCTTAAAACGAAGAAGTCTGCTAAGAGTCTGTACAAGAATATAGCACCATGATGTATGTTATTATCAGCTAAAATTAACTGAAAAATATACGTCTATGCTGGACATCCAAGCTTGAAGGCAAAACTCAGGGTAAAAGTTTACATTTATTGGCCAACCACACAATCATTTGTCATCTATGTAACATTTCAATGAACTTGAGCACAGTGTCTTGTAAATGGAAAGTGAATAATCATGGGACTAAAGATGTAAAGATGTTGTTTACAGTTCTGCTTTAGGACATGGCTACTCTGCGAGACACGGTTTGGTGGAAAACACCGCGGAGCAGAGAGGGGTAGTCTGCCACTCTGAACAGGTGGCGCTGGGCATAGGAGGTGTTGTCAGGCTGTCCTTGGCTCACCAGCACGCGCAGGTTGGCCTCGTTCACCTGGCTGCCCACCGCTATCACAAACAGCTCCAGGTTTGCACCTGCCACTTTACGGACTTTGTCTAAGAGTGCGGCGGCAGTCACATCCTGGGACCTGCCGTCGGAGAACAGCACCACCTTCTTCTTGCTGCCGGAGGTGTCTCCACGGTCGGGAAGGCGAGAAATGGCAAAATCCAAGGCCTGGAGTAAATCAGTGCCATCGTTTGAGAAAGCAGCCTGCTCCACTCGGTATGACAGCTCTGTGAGGTTGGTTGTCAGAGACTGCTCCATTTTGGTGCTGCGACTGTACTGGGCCACGCCCACACGGACTACGGGACTCTTCCTTTCTGGGTCAATGAAGCGCTCTGCCAAACGACGGACGAAAGTTTTACTGGTCTCAAAGTTCTTCTGCCCCACACTGGCAGAGCTGTCCATCATTAGTAGGATGTCATGGTTTCGATTAAAGGTGACTGAAAAAGCAAACAGCAAGATTTTGTTTTATTTGATTCTGATCATGTTGTTATTGTTGACAGAAAATACTTACTGGAACATTTGTAGTCAGGACATTTCTTATCTGGAAAACACAATACATATAGTGTACATTTTAGTGGGTTGTTGTTGAAAATGTGAATATGAATATTATTTATTTAATGAAAATGTAGGCTATAAATGGTACCTTGACATATTTTGGATGTGAGGTTCTGCAGGAAAGTGTCTTCCAAAAGTTCGGCAAAGTTTTCACGAACAAATGAAAAGCCTGGCTTCTTGGTGTCACTTTGGCACACCACATCCTCCAGTTGCTCCCGGTTAGGCACACGGCCGGAGTAATCTTTAATCCCTACCCCTCCAACCTGTGTAGAAATATTTGTTAAATTAAAGTTTCTAAATTACTTCCAAATATCTGTTACTTTGAAATGAAGGTCCATGTTAACATGGTAAAGTACCCTTATGTCTTTTCCACAGAGCACATTCAGAGGCACTTGGTCTCTGGAAGTGTCTGAGCGCCCATCAGTCAGAACGATCACCACTTTGTTATCCTTCCTCATTAACTTGATGGTGTTTTGGAGTGCATACTCCAGTGCCTCTCCTGTGTATGTGGCCTCAGCCAGCCACTGCAGGTCCTTCACCATCCTGCACACACAAAGTACCTGATTATTACATCAGCAAAATAACAATAAAAAGAGAAAATCATTAGACGACTACCTATATCATACTTTTCCTAGTGGACAATATGAAAATGCCATAAGTGTGACATAAGCACATTTCCAGGTGTGACTCACTGTTTGAACTCGGTGAGGCTGTTGGTGCTCCTTCCCAGTTGGACCACCTCCTGAGCCCTGGACCCACTGTACTGAACCACACTCACAGTTGAGTCGTTACCTGAAAACTGCAGAAAAATAAAAAATAAACACAAACAAAATCATTCACCAAGAGCTGTCCACACATGCTACATGGTCTAGTCAACACTTCAATGTTCCACCCATCCTGACTAATAATATCCAAGCTGGAAGAGCACAGTCACAGCAAAGGGCCAATTCATTTTATTTATGCTTTCTATTTCTAGATGTGAACCTGATTACCACTTACTTTTCCTATAACCCAAAGGTCCAAGTTATGAAATCATTCTAACCTAATGGATACCAAATAATGTTTATGTGCTAAAATGTCAAAGTGAATAATTTATGGTGGGCTTTACCTTGACTTGTTGGTCTTTAATCAGTCTGTCGATGACTGTAATGATAAAGTCTTTAGCAAGAGCAAAGTTTGCCAGACCAATACTCTCCGAGCTGTCCACAATGAAGGCCAAGTCCATGGGTGCACATTTACACTCTAAAACAGCAGCAGAAACAAATGTACCAAATCACCCCAAAAGAATGAGCAGTAATTATAATAATGACTGCAAATGAAAGAAACTCACCACAGCATGCTGTGAAGTGGAGCAGAGATGTAAAAGACAAACAAATTAAGACAGCCATTAACTGTCTGGAAAAACACTGTTCTTTGGGCTTAACATTTTGCACAATCTGTACCACATATGTCCATAGTGTCCGTGTACATTATATGCACTGTATCTATGTATGTATGTATGTATATATGTATGCAAATGTCAAACTTACAGCAGAGTTTCATGATGATATCCAGAACCTCACATTCCTGAGGAGAAAGGTGGCACACATGAGTTTAGTTTTCGGACTGTTTAAGGCACATTACATAAGTGCTATGAAACTATGAAACACAAGACAATGGCCCCAGACAGCGCTTCAAATTTCAAAGAAAAGATGGAGAAAAGGAAAAGCACTGAGCTGTTCTGCACTGAATGCGTTTGTTGGAAGGGTTTTGGTGTTTTAATTCAGGAAATTGGATGTTTGACTTTAAGCTAAACAAACTATCAGTTTCAGAAAGAAGGAGTGTTAATTTCACTTCAAGTTTTAATCCTGGGTCGGGGCCAAAATGAGTCCATCCATAGTGGACCATATACTCACATCCATTCCTGGAGGTCCAGGAGGCCCAGGTGGTCCCTGTCAAAGACATAGATAACATCACTGATACAGTCAAATGTTCTGCAATGATTGAAGAAAAGAGAAGCCTGTTTTGAGTGCAAACCCATGATTCTTCAGAGAGTCATCCCTCCATTGAAAACTCTCTCAGTCTGAACCACATCCACACCCACACATTTGAGTGCACTATCTCCACAACAAAACACACATCTTCCAAAAGTTTGTTACCAAAGCTTTTTTTTTCTTTCAATGACCGTAAACACATCTGTTTTGTTTTAAAAGACATTTAACTCAGTTCAAGAGCATTCTTTTCTGTGACAAAGATGTGGTGAGGCTAAGATTCACAAACAAATGTACATGCAACTCAGAATCTGAGAGAGCAGGGTTAAATGTAGATGATGTAGACACATGATGCAAACGGTTCATACAGAAATATGCAGCAGAGACAGAAACCAGAGCAGGAGGAGGGAGAGCATGCACAAGGCTGGCTCAAAAGTATGTCCAAAGTTGTTGCTGTGTACTGTTAAATTTAGATCAATTGTACATTCAGTTTTTCATCAGAAGTTCAGTTCAGTTGACAGTGAGTGCAGAGGATTACACATTTCTTTCCTCTGCACTGAGTCATGGGTATAATTTCTGTGTCTTTACATGTGGTTTGATGCTACGTTCAGCAGTAAGCTCAGCTCACAGTGACTCAGAACTAACCATAGTACTGTACTACACGGTCACATAGTGAATACAAACACAAAGACTCCTGTTTGGTCAATTCAGGCAATATGAGAGCATGGAAAGGCCACACTCACACATGAACTACTTAAGAGAAATCACTAAATTTAAGCTGACAGTGAATGGTGTGAGTCCTAGTCTGTACTTGTTCACATTAGTGTTTCACGGTCCAGTTTTCTTACCGCTTTGCCCTCAGGTCCTCTGTGGCCTTTGGCCCCTTTGAGTCCGGGACGCCCTGGTTCATTGTTCTGTAAAAAACAGATTATGTTAAGAACTGTGTTTATGTTGTTCATACAGTATAGCATCTTCATATTTACACACATATTTCCCTTTTTCCACCATTGTGGCAGATTCATAACTATTACAAAGGTCTATCTGGCCCCTGATGAGATTCCTCCCTATATACTATAAATGACAGAATGGTCTCCATTACATTTTGTGAGAAAAAAGTTCCACAAAACCCCACTGTTTCCTGTATTCCCCCTCTGTATTCTAAATCCAGTAGCCCCTACGGTGGGGTGAACTTTTAAATGGCTAATACATTGTTTTACTACTGTTGATACTGAGTACTACTGAAAAATCCACTTGGATGAAAAGTGTGGCTCCACCCTTGTGCAGCTGCTCTGAGACGAGCCTCGAGACTGTGGTGAATTGAGAGCTTTGCACCAAGAATCACTTTTCCCACAGATAACAAAGCATAGTTTAAACAAGAATAATCACATAGGCAATACACAGACAAACAGCTGCAAACATTTCTACGTAATCACAATTCAGGATATTATAAGATGGTAAACACATGTTTAATGAGATGATGAAACAAAAAAAAAGCTGCAAATAAGTATGTAGTTCATGAATCTTTTTTTTTCAATGTATTTTTCAAAATCAGTTTGGGACATTTTTTGTTATTTTGATGTGTAGGTTGGATGATAATTGACATCTGACCCATGGGTCCAAACTTTTTTTCCCATTGAAACATATTGGTAGTGGAAGGTACAGACCAGTATTCAACATAGAGGGTCAGTCAGATGAATGCATTTAACACAACTTTGACAGAAAATAGTATAATTTACAATACTTGGGGGCAATTCGGTAGGAGGCCTGAGGGCCAACAAACATTGTTCGAGGGAGCTGCATTTGGCTACTGGGTCATAGTTTGGTCACTCCAGTCACTCCAGTCCAAATAACAACATTTTTGTTACTAGAATAAAACCTGTTAAATCTAAATAATATGTACATAAAACATGTGAATAGTTTTGCAAGAGGCAGAGGCTGACACTCCAAACAAACGCAGGTGATAAATCTTTTGTGGTTTGAAATGAAGCAGACACAGACTGAAAGGTCGGTAGTGTATCATCAGCACAATCTAAGGCATTTACAGAAGACAACTCAAGATGCAGGGCTGGTAATATCAACCACCTGGCGCCAAGAAACACTGAGCGACCATTTTGAATCCACACGCGGTTCAAATTACTCCACTTCAAACAGACTGATTTAACATGGACCATATCACACAAACTCATGTCCTGACCTTGATGTATGAGGTCACTCTTCATGAGGCTGTACCCTAAAACTCAAATATATGTTTTCATTCCTAGCTGTGTTAGTGCTCAGAGGTGCATAGTTTAGGAGTCAAAGGTCCCAGTCTGCCTCTACCTTCATCTTTTGGGATATGCCCTAGTTTATCTCATCCTGTTCCCAATGGCCAGAGAAAGTGCAGGTAAACCCAAAGGGTTTACAGGTAAACACAAAGTAAGTAAATGAATCATTTATTTGTTAAATTCATCAGTAATTTATCTGGAGTGAATCAAGATCAGCAAAGATACAGGATACTCATGGTTTAAAACGGTCTTGATATTTATCATAACTATTACGAGACCACATGATATTATTGTATGAATGATTCTCATTTTGTGTTGAAAATTACTATCCTAAAAATAATGTGAAAATTTAAAACTGGCACATTTATATTTATAATTCTAGCTAATGCTGTTTGTTTGTTTGTTTTACTTTTTTCTTACACCCTGGTAAAACAGGATCCATTTCTCAGTAAATGATTTCTTCTTTCCAAATGTCAGACCAGAGAAACCAAGAATAAAACAGTCTGTGCTAAGGAAAAATGCAGCCAAAAAGCCACACAAACACACACATATGCACACAAACAGGCGATGCTTTGTATTTCACTAGAGGAATTATTGTTCTGTTACAAATCATTGTTCTTTTATTGAAAACTGGAAAGCTGCATAAATGGGCGGTTCTAGGCAGCCATTTTGATAGTGATACAAATGTGAAATGTAATGGTCTTTTGAAAAAACTGGAAGCGATTGTTGTGATCTTTTAGAAAGTGAAAGTCTGGACAGCTGCATCTAATTGTGCCCTTTGAGAACACAAAACCTTGATAAGTTGTAAACATTTTTGACCTTGTGGATTTAAAGCTTACAAAGACGTGAGGTTGTGTGCAGAGAAAGGTAAAAGGTCACTGAGCTGAGTCCAAACATGTGCAGAAATGTTTATGCCATAAAACTGAGGCCTTGGAAATGCAGTAATTTCAAAGTAAACACAAATGAGTTGAAGCCAGGGTTAAAGTGTTAAAGTGACACCCTATATGGCCAGTGTACACTGGCCCCACACACACACAAGTACATGTACCAAACTAAGACTGAAAACCCTTCCTCCTTGTATCCATGACAACCGCATACACACAGCTGCATCTGCTCTCACACAAACACACACACACACTGACACAACACATTCAAAAGCAATAAATTGTTCACATCTACTTACAGCACTTACAGCTGCAAAATATTAACCATTGTGAGAATTACCTGCATGCAAATGTGAAAGTTTGATTTTAGAAAAAAGCAGCTCCTCTATGGACATTTTAAGTCTTCACCAATGCTGCAGATAAAAACTCAAAAGAAATACATCTAAAATGGTCAATTAATAGCAGACGTGTGACTCACATCCTGTCAGAATTGGAGACAGATGAAGGATCAGGGCCAAAAAAAATAAAGACACTTACATCAGGGCCTGGATCTCCGGGCTCTCCATCGTCTCCTTTGGGTCCCAGGGTTCCCTTACTACCCTGAGGTCACCACAGGACATGTTGGGAAAGGAAAGAAACTCAGAAATGCTCATATCTGTTATTTAAATACAATTAATCTGAGTTAAAGAAAAGTATTTCAAAACAACACAATCCATATTTTACATGCAAATGTCGAGAGCATCTTAGTCTGTCAAATAAAATGTTTTTTGTAAAACTTACAGGCTCGCCAGCGTCCCCACGCACGCCACGATAGCCCTAAAAGAAGCAAATTCAGTAAAATTTACACTTTTTATTTATATATATATTTTTATCAGGATAAATATACCTGGAAACCTGGACATCCCACAGTGCCATTTCCAGGGGGACCATCTTCGCCCTAAAATTCAGACGCACATCAGTCTCACATCACCACAAATTCTCCTCACACAATATGGCGGTCGCACTCACCCGGTCCCCCATCATGCCTCTCTCTCCACGAGCTCCTTTGATTCCTCTTGGCCCTTTGGGTCCCTGTGATTAAAACAATTAGAAACAAGATCTAGCAAAATTGTGTATTTGAGGTAATTTAAGCATTCGTTCTACTAACAGCGGCACGAAAAATTGTGGACACTTGACTGTTCCCATTTTACAATAGAGAAAGTGAAAGTATGATTTTGGACTCACCTCTGGTCCAGGGGCGCCCTCATCACCTCTGTAGCCAGGAGCACCTTGTTTGCCAGGCTCACCCTGTGTTCAGATAATGATTATGTTATAAGAGATTACACAAGAGGTTGCACAAAGTCCAATCAATTAACTCCTTATTACTCTATTTTAATAAAAGAATCTACAAAGAATATATGCATTTGATGATTCAACTGATTTTGGGCTTGCATCTTTTAGTTATTAATTATAATATATAATATAAGTTTTACATTATAATAATTACAATGTAAACAGAGTACAAAGTGGACATGAAGGTAAACAGACTCAATTCCAATGAAGTGTTAAAAACGTCACAGCTACTCTGCAGTGAAACGAAATACAAAATAATCCAGTGTCCTCTTAGCTTTGTTTTATGTCCAGCTGACGACAGCTGAGCACAGCTGCTGTTTATAATGATCTAAATGTTTGAGTAAAACAATGTATTTTTCCTACATGAGTATCACTAGGTTCCCATGAAAACCTGATTGCATGTCCATTCTGGGCATAGTGTAAAAATTTACATTTACACAACTACTGAGTGTGCCCATCAGTACTTGAGCTGTGACTGAGTTTCAGTAAAGTACGACCAAAAGTACCTGCCACAAATGATGTGGATGTCATGTGACCAAACACATACACACCTTCATTTATGAGGTGTTTCTGAAGACACAGTATTTACTGGCTGGGAGCATTTGAGGTGGGTGCACTATGTCAGTTATTCCATGTTATTTGTTGGTCATATTTTCATTGGTCATTCAGCACTGATGAGAAAAGTTAAGCTTAAAGCACAAAAGAGCCATTGTAGCTCATGACATCACGGAGGTAACCACAACTAACGCTTGTAACATATTATTATTATTACACTGCCTTGAGCCCCATTAAGAAAACCATAGTGAGGCTTTGGCTGGAGCAGGAGAGAAGAAGTGAGTCAGAGGGGAAAGACTGAGCGTGGATGTTCCCTGGAGAAGTAAACTCTGGGAACGAACTGCAGGACATGAAGCTTGAAGGGAGTGGGCAGTATTGGGGCAGCCGCCAGGTGGGTCTCTGTTTGGGCTAAGGCCCAGTGCACACCCCCTCAACATGCACAATAAATGCACGCGCTTTCCAAGTGGAAAAAGGGACGGTGTCCAGAAGGAAAAAAGTGTGTCTGCTTTGAACTGTGCCTCTAGATTCTGAACAGGCTAAAGCTAAAGCTAGGCTTGTAAAAGCTGTTCATCATATCAGCATTTTAGAATGGCTTACAGTGTCTCCGTTGGGGCCAGTTGAGCCCTCCCTCCCTTGCTCTCCACGGGAGCCTGGCTCCCCCTAAAAATACACAACAAATACATTAAATTCCATACAATTAAAACTAAAAAAGGCTGTAAAGTGTTTTGTTACTTTTTAGGATCACATTAAGTATAAACATGAGCAGTTTTCATCTTGCGTCTTTAAAATCTTTATTATCAAGAATATTGTACCGGTTGTCCTCTAGGGCCTCTATTTCCACGAGAACCTTGCTCCCCATTCTCTCCAGCTTGTCCCTACAAGGATTTAAAACAGAAATGACTCTCTGGCAGCACTCACACAAACACTGTCGCTCAAATAAAAGTAACTGTCCTTACATTCTCTCCTCGGGTTCCATCCTTTCCTGGTTCACCCTGGTTCAAGACACAAATACATAAACATGAACATAACCCATAATCAAGATATATAGTAGTATGTCAAATTCACTTACATCGTCACCGCGTTCTCCTTTGTCCCCAACGGCTCCAGGTGGCCCACGATCTCCCTGTATTAAAATGCATATTAACACTACAGAACCTTTTAACCTGCTCATGATGTTGCCTGTGTATCCTTTTACCGGTAGTCCCAGTTTACCAGAGTTTCCAGGGCGTCCAGGCTCACCGTCTTGTCCAGGATCACCCTGAAATACATTTGATTAGTTTGTCATTTCAACCATAAGAGGTCCAAACTATCAAAAATTACAGTCACTAATAAGTCAATAATAAAAACTATTTTCATTATCATATATGACATATCATGTAAATGATTTACCTTTGCTCCTTTCTGTCCATAAGAACCAGGGTCTCCCTTCGGTCCCGGCTCTCCTTGTAGACCCTGAAAACAGAGAACACACAAATGCTCAGTATACAATCAGGAAGTCTGAAGTCACTAAACGTCACTGTGTAAGCAGCACATATACACGCACTATGCATGTGTTTATTTACAAGACAACTACATAGTTTAATTTATACAGTCTGGCAGAGAGAATGTAAACTAAAGTGTGATTAAAGACCCATGAGCTCAAGTGGTCCTGGGGCCCATATACATTGAACTGTGTAAATGTCACATGACCAAACACACAAAGAATTGCTAAAAATGTGGTCACAGCTAATGCGTAAACATGCACATGTTTGTATATGTGCACCATTGATGGAAACAATCTGTATGCCAAAAGTGGCCAACTTTTCATATTAAGTACAAGTGCAGTACAGTTTGGTTGTGATTCAACCAGACATAAGTGAAACAATATCAAGGCTGGCCCAAAATTGAAGTTGGTACTCACATCTGACCCCGGAGATCCTTTACAACCAGGAAGACCAGGAAAACCAGGCTCACCCTAGTGCGAAACCAAAGATAATTAACACAATCAGTTAATTCATATGCATTAGCAAAGTTGATGTTTTTTCCTGTTTACCTTGCGCCCATCAATGCCATCTATTCCTCTCAGGCCTTTATCTCCCTAAAAGAAACAAACAGTTTCTTCAAGGATTTGGTTCAACCATAAAACCATTATGTTCATAGATTACAAGCAAGGTAGAAAGTTCACCTTGTAGCCTTTATGTCCTCTTTCACCCTACACAAAAGATAAAATTAGTTAGAGAGTAAATAATCCATCTATAAACTATACAAAATATTTAAGTAATGCAAATATTGGCATCACCTTCTCTCCTCTGCCTCCACGGTCTCCCTGTAAACACACAAACACAAATTATAATGACACTATGTTCACAATAAGTTGACTTCCTCTACACTCTCACTTACAATGCTACACAATTAAAACATTTTTGTTTTCAATGCCTCGAAATGTGCCTCAAAATCTGTTCCCATTGTAAACAGTGTGCGTGGGAAGTGACATCACACCAACAAGCACCTCAAGTTCTAAACTGCTGAAACACGTAAAATGGAAGCATACATGCAGGAACTGGTCTTTGTAAAAATCATAAATTTATCAAGTGTAAATAAAACAATGAAAAAGTAGATAGTAGAGTTCAGATTATGGTGTTGCACTTGTAGTGCTTGAAACCACAGTGTTTTAAGTTTCCTTATTATGACGTACCTTCATTCCACTGTAACCAACTGGACCAGGATCTCCAATGCTGCCCTAGATAAATAATAATGACACATTATTAGAAAACATACTGTACAGCACTCCAAATAAATGGATGTGCAGATAAAATGCCTACCACATCTCCAATATCTCCTTTCTCTCCAGGCATTCCAGGTCGGCCTACTTCTCCCTGTAATTAGACACAATTTAACTTCTATTATCAGTGCATAAATTACTTGTAGAGGTTAAGTGTTCATATTATTATCCAGTTACCTTAGAGCCAACATCACCATCTGGACCTTTCGCCCCTCCAGGTGCCTACAGAAGAAAGGAAAAACATGTGCTCATGCAGTAAAAGTACTGGATTTATGTCATGTCTTTCAAAAGACCCCATGATTTACAGTGCATTATTCTCTTGCTCAACACTCGGTGATGGTAAAAAGGCTGCTAATCTAAGCCATTGGGTCCTCTGATCACTACCAATCACTCACGCACACACTACATTCATAGGTGGGTAAAGTCTGTTGCCAACTAGGGATCCATCTTTTTCATTTCCAATACCAATATTAATACTTTGACTTTAAGTATCTGCTGATATCCGATATCCACTTATACTAGTATACAAACTGAAACTGGCACTATTAAGTTATGAAAATTGTATTTATCCTTTAAAAACATAACAGCTTCGAATGAGTAAAAGTTCAAAGATTGTGAGATGTTCTGGGCTAAAATCAGCCAATATACATTCTATGTACATCTAATTAAAGGCCAAACCAGAATATCAGTTGATAACAGAGGACCCATACCTGATCCAGTAAATTGTTCAGCACTGTTATTTGATATCAGAATCTGTATCAGTGCATCCCTACAAAGGACACAACAAAAGTATGCAATAGAGCCAACTGAGACACCTGACATTTCCTGTGGTCTCCCATCCCAGTACTGTAGCACAAGGTCTAACCAAGCTTAGCTTCAGTGATCAGAAGAGTTTGGACATTTTCAAGGTGGTATGGCCAAAGTAGTTACAATATTATTAAACCATAATTAAAAGAAAGTAATAAATAGGACACTTACATTGCAATCAAATGAGCAGCACTAAAATAAAAGAATAGAAAAACATACATTAGTCAAAAGAAATAACTTGATTCATATCATTCCTTAATGAATATTTTATGTAAATTACTAAATAGATTATTCTTTTTAGTGGCTTGCTATTGCTGTAATAAAACAATACAATAATATTAAAATACCTTAGCATTACATATACTAACCAACAGTATTAGCATTTTATAAATGCCCAATTATGTGCCTACTGAAAAATTGTGTGATATTGAATGCTAGCTCTCGCAGCTTTTTAGCACTAGTTTGTTGATAATGAGGACAAAGTTTGCATAATTTTTTTCCTTAATAGTGTGATTATGTGTGTGAGTTAAGTACTTACCACATCCTTTGTCTCGTTTGTCTATATACAAAACAAAAAGTCCACACATTAGTTCAGATTTTGCCTTCACAGAGTTTATAGAGAGTGATGTAAAACACATACAATCATATTAATGATGGTCCTAATTGTCCCGATGTTGGTCGACCTGGAGTCGTCTGCTGCTGTGAAGTTCTGTCTGTAGGCGTGATCTGTGGCGATCACTGACAGCCTGGTGTCCTGGTAAAACACAAGATATTAATTTAACATACATAAAGTTTATGCCTCAATACACTTCAGAAATGTTACTCTGAATGATATATTAAACAAAAGCAAATGTTAGACAAACATCACTCTCAATCTGTCTCAAAAAGGCCCCATATTATATACTATTCAAGATTTTAAAACATTTGTACACCCTATCTTGGTATTTCACATTGCAATGCTTTAAATAAAACTAAAAAACACTACCTCTGAAGTTGGTTAGCTGCAACACTAAAGGCAAATAAAGCAATGCAAAGGTCCTGTTAAGGTGTATAGACATAAAAAATTCAGAGGAGCACTTTTTGAATTATCACCCAATGACATCATCACACAGTGGAAGAAAGCCAATTGTGCTTTGGGTTCAGAGATAAAGAGCCTAAATATGATGGATTCCTCAACACAATATTTCTTATGAGGAACCCATTATAATATAATTGTTCAATAGCTCACACACATAAGTTAGGATAATGCAGCTGCGTTACATAATAGTTTTGGATGAGGTTTGCCAAACAGAACACATGGAGATACCTCTTGATCAGGTGAGATGGCAACAGCAAACACTTTGACCCCATGTTGCCGGGCTTCGTTAGCGGCCTCCTGCACTCCTCCACAAGGCTCTTTGTATCCGGTCAGAGGATGCCCATCAGTCACCACCACAATATACTTGTTCTCATGATAGTGGGACCCCCTGCAATGAAGCATAAATGAGTGAATGCTGCACTAATAATTTACTCTTATGTTTAATATACACTTATTATAGCTGCAAATATTACCCAACAAGCAGCTCTGCAATGCCCCTTTTGATGGCACAGTCGGTGTAAGTGCCTTTGCCAATGTAGTTGATGCCGTCAATTTTGGTCTTCAGTTGATTCTTGCTCGTGCTCATGTCCATCAGCTCTCCCACGAGTTCGATATCATCACTGTAGTGGAGGGCTCCTGAATTCCAGGTCAAGTATCGGTCACAGCGATGACGACTGTGGGAAAACAAAGATTAGCCAAGAGCAATTTTTCCAATGAGGGTTTCTAATATATTACAATTATTATAAATACTGAATACAGGCTATTGAATTTGGTATAGACCTTGTGTAAATTTGACTAGTTTAAACTTACACCTCCATATATTTGTAAATTTGATGTTCAGATGGAGAAGACTGCTTAGCATAAAATGCATAAAATTTCTTGTGTGTAGTCTGTAAGCTGGGTCATAAGTCACTGGGTCATGTAGGGTAACTGAGGAGTGAATGGCATAATGTAGTTCCACCCTCAAGGAAATGGTTTGGGTAATTGGCTGTAAACACATGAAGTGTCTGAATCTTACATGTCACGGAGTTCATCTAGGAACAGCTTGGTGAAGTCTTTGATCTGGTTTATGTAATATTCAGGGGGCTTCTGTCGGAGGGCGACACTCTCAGATGTATCCAATACAAAGAAAAGGTCAACAGGGCATTCTAAACAAAACAGCAAAATAACAAAGGTTACTTATTGGACAAGGCCAGAAATTGGTATGTTTTTGTGTTTTAGTATATAGAATTAATTATTATTTATTATTAAAAATGCCTGCTGCAACATCTAGGGCTGCAGATGTATGCTTTAGAAACATCATTGACAGGTGTAGGCCTGTACTTCCTGTCTTCTTGTCAGTCTTTTGGTCCTGAAGCTTCTCAGCTGCTGCAGCATCTTTATAGCGAGGCTGGCTTTAGGTTGTTACTGGTTCAAAAGTCTAACATATCTCAGATCATGCATCCATCTAATAACTCCCAAAGTTTGTATTCCTCTACCCGCTATCTTTTCAGTTGAGGCCTGCTAAACGTATGCTGCTTCTAACCATCTACAATCTCCCGGTACAGTTATTTATTCTTTCAAGGGCCTTCACTGAGATCGCCAGTAAAAAGACCATATGACATCTGAACCTTTACAGACACTACACAAAACAGCCCACTCAACATGCTACACATCCATACACAACTGATGGAGGGCAAAGACCAAATGACATAAAAACAAAAATATTGTTACCAATCAACGGACATAAGCCTAGAAGTAATTAGTTCACTTACCCGCAAATCTGGATCTTTGGACCTGCGCCTGCGAAGCAGCCAGGAGCACACACAGAAGTGCAAAGAGACTTCTTAGGGTCTCCATGCTCAAAGTTTCCCCAAAAAACTATAAAACCAACACAAACGACCCTGGCCACTCCAACACAACCGAATCCACCCGGGCCCGAACCCCGGTACCGTTAATCAGATTCGATAACTTTTAAGAATCCAGCGCTCCACCGCAGTAACTCCGAGGCGAGAGCCAGAGCGCGCAGAGGAGAAGCAGAGCGCACGGCCAGGAGGGAGGAGGGCGAGGAGGGAGGAGTTCGCGCGCATAGTTCAGACACTATGAACGGGAACGCGCACGGACAAACGCTATACACAATTTCTGCAGACATGCATGTTCCCATAAAAGAGACTCACAGAGAACGAGACTAAAACATATACTTAAAAATGCACAAACAACTGTGTTTTGGTTTGGCTTATAGTTTAAGAGAAAATATAAGATAATAGCGATTTAGAAGCAAACGTTGATTATTTCCAAAATTACACCAATATTTTGAAATGTGCGTTATTAATCTGTAAACAGTGGAGTGATTTTAATAAAACATAACAAGAAGCAACTGAAGCATTTGTTTAGGAGATGAACGCTCACATCTGTTTCACTTTGGCGTCCAGACCATGGATCTATTAAAAGTCTATCCAGACTTGACCTGATCATAAAAGCAGTCGAAATTAAGAGGTTGAGATGTTTTCTTCATTACTTTACACTAAAGAGGTAGAGACACAGTGCCATCTAGCGTCCATCAAAGCAACAAGTTGGACGCGACATAGGAAAAACGTTTGGGGGAGTTTACGGGTTGTATAGCGGCAGTGAGGAACATTGTGGAAGAAACCGATGTAAGGGGCGGGAAGTCATCTGGCAAGGTGCTGGCGTGGGTGGATGCTTCATGGTTGCCGTGGATGTTGGTTTTTGTTTGTATTTAAACGGTGGGTTTTCGCAGGAAAGGCACTGTTGGACTCACTTTTTCCAATGAGATCAGTGAAAAAGAGGAGAGGGGAAGGAGGGATAAGAGAGAGAGAGAGAGAAAGAGGAGGGGGAGTAGAAGGGCGACATCTGGCAATGATCTGTTTTTAATAGTGGCTCTCATAGTAAATCTGCAGGATTCTTGGCAGATGTCTATCTGTCTATAAAGTGTGCTGCAAGCATTTGCATTTGAACACTGTTTAGCACCAAGATGTCTCAATACCAGTCGTCATTATGAATGCATTTCTTCATAAAACTCAAGGGGAAATTATTAGTCACAGCCATGTTTCCACTTTTCACCACAATCATTATAGGTTTGCTATACTCACTGCATTGAAAATAGTCAGGTGGGGTTCTCTGTGTACCTGGTAAACAGATAAAAAGAAGAAAACGCCACAAGAAAAGCTGGGCACAAGAAGTTGGAGAGGAAAAGGATACAGAGAGAGGTGAAGACTAGTAGAACCTCTGTATCAGAAAGGAAGTAATTTAACCAGTAGTGCATTTGTACAGACATGAAGGACAATACCAATCAAGAGTCTTAACGCACTGTGACTCACTTGGGTATATTTACATGGCCAGTAAAAATCCAATAAGAACAGATTCTTTTGTTTTAGTGCGTTTACCTGCCCAAGAGAAATCTGATTATTTGCTCTTAGTTACATTTGCATTTAGAAGGCAATGTGAAATTACTTTAACTCTTTCATATTTGTCTTGGCTACAGTAGTTTGCCATTTTTGCATAATTCTCCTTGTCAAAACCCACACTGGTGTGAAGAGTACGAAAGAAATCAGAAACGTCACACCAGATGTTTTCATATGACAGTTCAATAATTTGACATCTCTAGAATTCGGATAATGATCACATTTTTGGTGTGCATGTAAACATGACCACTGCTAAGAAATATCCTATACCTCTTACAGACCAACTACTGTGTGGTGCATTTCACACACAGATGAAATGAAACCTAAACATGGCACATGAAATGCCTTGAAAAATAAGCTTTTAGTGTTATCTGTGTACATATGGAGCAGTATGCATCACTATGAGATCACTGCACTGGGCTCTAAGCAATGATGGTTCACATATGAATGGCAGGGTGGTCCTCAGCTGAAAGACAGTGTATCAAAGAGTAGCCACTGCAGCAAAAAGAGCAAAACAGGTCAAAATGCTAAAGATGAAAGGACTTAGATTCAAAGGGAAAATTGTAAATTCTTTCTCAATAACTGAAAAAAACAAAAACAAAACACTAACAAAAAACAGGAAAATTGCTAAATGAACGGGGGACATCTAAATGATGAGGGGAAATGAGATGACCTTCCTGTACATTTGATTCGCATTGGCTCAAGTCATGGAGGGTCAAATGCATGGCACCTTCAAACTCACTTCAACTTCAGTACTTCATATACTTCATATATATGTGACACCTTCTGTTCAGAACACTTTACAGAAATTGCAAAGAAAGTACTTTGTGCCTTGACTTGAAAATGAGTCTTGTTTAACAATTTGAAAAGAAACCAGACAAGAATAACTTAAATTCAAAAATATATTTATCAATATTAACAGCATCACACAAAATGTATAATGTCCTTCATCACAAAGCAGGTAGATTATTCTCCCTTGTTCTTTTGTGCTTTTTTTCTGTCTGTGCAGCTCCACAATAACACAGCATGGTATTTCTTGTGGCCTATTTGAGTCAGTGTAACATTTTGAGTAATTTCTCAGGCCATGTTGGAGTGGCTCTTCAGGTGTCTCCTCAGGTGATGCAGACAAGTGTAGGTCTTGGGGCAGAGCTGGCAGTGGTATGGCCGGACACCAGAGTGATTGAGCATATGCTGTTTCAGGACACTTCCATCTGAGAAGGCCTTCCCGCACTGAGAACAGACGTAGGGGCGCTCCCCCGTGTGGACACGCATGTGAACTGTCACTTTGTGAGCCATAGTGAAGCCTTTTCCACACACAGTGCACTTAAAGGGCCTCTCTCCTGTGTGTGTGAGTCTGTGTGTGCGCATGGCCCCCATCTGAGAGAAGGCCTTCCCACAATCAGGGCAGGTGTGGGGCTTCTCCCCGCTGTGCACGCGGCTGTGGCTCCTCAGACCCCCGGCCGTAGAGAAGCACTGAGAGCACTGAGAGCACTGGTAGGGCCGCTCCCCTGTGTGAGTACGCATGTGTTGTTTTAAATCATAGCGGTTTCTAAAGCCCCGCCCACAGACCACACAGTTCTCTGGGCGCTCATCACTGTGCCGCAGCTCATGGTTGTTGAGGCATTTCTCGGACAGGAAACACTTGCCACACTCCTGGCACTGGTATGGCTTCTCATGGTCTACCCTCTGGTGGTACTTGAGCTCACTGATCCCAGGGAAGGTCTCATCACAGTACCTACACCGGAAGCGGTGGTTGGGGCTATAGGGGAGCTGGTGTTCATTCAACTGATGGTTCCTTAGTAAGTGTGCCATCTTGAATGTCTTTCCACAGTGAGAACATTCGTACTTTGTGAGCAGCTGAACACACTGGTGCCGCACTCGATCATGTAGAGACCTAAACTGGCAGCCACATTTAGTGCAAATATGAGCTGCATTTTTACACTTCCTCTTCCTGTGTCCTGACAGGTGTGCCTCAGTTCTGAAAGCTTTACCACATTGTGAACATTTGTATGGCTTTACTGCTGTGTGAAACCTCTGGTGCTCCAGAAACTCAAAGCGATATTTGAAGCTCCTGCCACACAGTGGACAGTTGTGTGTAACACGGCCACGCTGATAAACAGCTTTGACAGTTTTCCGAGAAAAAGACACTGATGTGCAATGAGTAGAGCAACGTTTGCCGTGTTTCCCTCCACTCATTAGCATCACTGTATCTAATTCACCTACTTGTTCATGCCGTTGTTCGTGTTTAGAAAGACTCTTGGAGGAGATGAAGCTCTTGCCACATTGCTTACATTCATAAGGCTTGTCGTGATCCACCTGTTGGTGATACTTGAGGTCCCCTATCCCTGAGAAGCCAGCTCCACAGTGGCTACACTTGAAGAAGCGGCTCTGCACATGTGTGAGCAAGTGATCCTTCAAAGTGCTTGACTTCTGAAAACTTTTCCCACATTGTCCACAATCATATCGTCGACTGTGTTTGGGACAGTGGTGTCTAAACTTCTCTAGTGACGTTGGAAAACTATTTCCACACTTAATACAAACATAAGCTGCATTTCTGCACTTGCGTAGCCGGTGCCCTGCAAGGAGAGTGGCAGTTCTAAAAGCTCGGCCACATTCAGAGCAGTTGTATGGCTGCAGACCGCTGTGAACTCTCTGGTGCTCAATCAGAACAGAATGGTGCTTAAAGGATTTATTACACTCAGGGCATTTGTGCAGACCAGGTTGCTGAGATTGATGAGGAGATAAAGGAATGTCCGACCTTTTGGGGGATTCAGGGAAGTCATTTGATGTGGATGGGTTTGTGGAAAGTTCTTCATCAAACATGACAATCTCAGGTACATTGTTGTCATCGTCACAAGCACTTGGATGTGAAGCAATAGCTACTTCTAGTGATGGGGGCAGAGAGAGCGAAGGAATCAGGAGGTCCTCTGATGGAAAAGGAGCTGCAAGGCGAGATTTAGTTAATCCTTTTCAATATTGTGCAAAAATATATATTTACTTTATCAAATACTTCAAGAAAATATCACATGCATACCAACACTAGTCTTCACCATCTTGCCATGACACTGCTTGTTTTGCAGAAGAAATTTGAGGTCCTCTCCATTTGAGACACACTGCATGTACTCCTCAAGGACAGAGGGGGCAGCACTGATCCAAGAAGCAGTCTATCCCATGAAGTGTGAAGAAATTGTTATAAAATTGAAAACCATTTCAAATGTAAAGCATATCAATCAACATACCTGTTTAAAATCTGGTATTGGCAGCAGTTCTTCCAGTCTGGTAAAGAATTCACAAACCAGCGTTTCAAGTGCTGTGTCGAAATCAGGGCCGTACTCCACAGGAAACACGTTCTGTTAGGAACATCTTTAATGAACACTCTTTGATACATACACACACGCACACACACACACACACACACACACACACTAGATACAATCTTACCTTGAGGAAATGCTCTCTGCCATCAGTGTCTTCAATGAGCCCTTGGACCAGTTTCATAAAGTTGGCTTCTGGAGCATCAATCACATGGTCATTTGTCTAAATTAGTAGAGACACAATAGTATTTTGCATGACATAGAAGTTTAAAATGTCTTTGAGACCAACAGAATCAAACCTCCTCAATGTAAGATGCTCTGATCCTGTTGAGATGCGTCTCAACAGCCTTCAGGTCTTCAGGGTGCTCAGAGCGGAGCAGTTCAAGCGTCGTCTATGAAACAAAAAACATTTCTTTCACAATTCATATCTAATAAAATCATCTAAATCTATCAGAAATAGGGATGTCAAGATGACAACTTCTTCTTCTTGCTCTTGTATAAATTCCTAATAATCATAATAATAATAATATATCATCTGGCACTCACTCTGGCCCTCAGCCCAAGAGACAACAGCCTCCCCTCCCTTTCGCTCATCAACTCCGGCACCGCCTCTGTCACAGTGGAGACAAACTCCTCCAGTCTCCCGTAGTGCTGCGTGTTCCTCTGCCGCACCACCTCCCACATCACCGCGGACATCAACCGCAGAGGAGGCACCAGAAGAGCCAGGGAGGACAGGGGCACACTCAACTCTAAACAGAGACACTTTGACATTCAAACTGTACTTCAACTTACCTGTCCATATTACGAAGGTGCTTCTAGCTCTGTGTCAACTGCATTCAAATAAACCCGATATCTTACATTAGTAATTACGTAGGCTACAGACGCTTAAGATATTAACCAATAAAAGATGTAGATACACAAAAGGGCTGCCAAACTCAAAGTAGTAAAATATGATTAATAATTGATAATAATTCCGTAATATATCATATAAACATTTGGAAGAGTTAGGGCATAAAAAGTGTCAGGATGAGGACACCGTCTGCTGACAGCAAAGAAAACCAGTTTTGTTCCAGAGATTAGTCGAGGCCTAGTGAGTTTTGCTAGTATTTGCTTTAGCCGTGTTATTAGCAGTGCCGTTGACAAAAAAAATACACATTTGTCATTCTACGGCGACGCATACATACCCATATCATTCATTTTGGAAACCCAGAGGAACCGTGTGAGTAAATATTGTTAAAAGAGACTGTTTTGCATACTCGCGGTTAGCATTTTAGCTAGCTGCATACGCAGCTTCAGGCGCCAACTTCTTCCTGAAACGCGCTGTACTCATACAGTCTCGGCTGCAGCACCGGCTGCACAGGCTCGGGTTTGTTTGTGTGGCGTTGCATTAGTTGTACGGGACAAACCGAGGAAGGCGGGATATTATAAATTTAGGGAGAGCGGAAGCCGCGCCATCTATCGGGACAATAAAAAGTAAGAATTCAACAAACGAGTACATCGTTTTATAGTAAACTAATACGGTATTATCGAAACGAGGCTTTACGAATCTAGGACAGCATAAAGATGTATGATCTTGAGCAGATCTACGAGCAAAAATCATAGGTCCGTCTGTATGGCAACAATGTGGTAAGGCTTTTTGTTGCAATATCACACGGATCCTGCAGATAGCAGTATTTTTCTTTCAAACACAATCTTATTAAAAGTAATGCAATTAGACTGCACCATCTGGACAGTCATCATGGGTAAAACACTCTACATCGTCATCAGTCAATGATTAGCACAACACCCTAAAATTACTTCTATAATATGCCTGATTTATAATGAAAAAAAAAAAAAATCCTGTAATGTTCAAATCCTCGTAATGTCTGTATAATAAATTACTAAATACAGGCTATATTGTTCTTGTTTTTTTTTCAGCACTAAAACAGAAAGCAATAAATGAAATGTTTGCCAAATTATAAAATGAGAATTCTTTGTACGATAGCACTAAATAGTCCAATACTCGAATGCATCAGTTCTATGATGTAGAGGACTTATTTTATTATTTACTGTGAGCCATTTTGTAATTAGACATAGTGCTTTTTTAATCTTTAAAAATGTTTTCTCTCTCTGTTGATGCTTTAATCTCTGCCACATGTTGAAATGCTTAAAAAAAATCTGATCAATTAACAAGTCACATCTATTAAAGGCATTTTCGGCCATTTTGTAATGTTGTTAATCCTTTCCTATTTTTCTAAAGCATAGTATAATTATGCATTGTGTCAATGTGCACAAGAATACTGACAGTGCTCTATAGGAAGTACATACATGAGGAGAAAGGCAGAAAGAGATACTGAGATACTGAGTGCAGTCTGTGAGTGTGTAATTAAAACAAGTGATTTTTTACACACAGATTATCCCTCTATCCCAGCTGCTCTGAGTTGGATTTGACCACCCCAACAACCAGAGGAAATCTCTCTGGGACCAAATCCAAATTGGCACCCTTGATTTTTTTATTTTTTTTTTACCAGCTTGTGAAAGTCATCAAAGCTGTTCTAAAAAACAATATTTGATCCAAAATATTATCTTAAACTTTATTACATGTAATGCTGTCTTTGGTTGTTAGGACTTTGTAACTTTTAATATATTCTGTTACATTCTTTGTACACCTTGTCCTTTCAGTTTTTATGAAAAAAAAAGATATATGAAATATACTTGAAATGTTTGATTGCAATGAGTTTGTGTTTCAAGGGTTACACTGTAACAAGGACAACACGACAGTAATGGAAAGTGTGCACTTCTGCCATGTTTTACACTCAAACAGACAGATTTAACTGCCACTGTCTGACCAGTGAGGTCAAATCAGCCTCTGTGTGCACAGCAAGACCTCAAATACTTCTAATTGAGTAGTAAATCACAAAAACAAATATGGAAACACTTTTATTGCTATTTAATATTGCTAGACCTAACTGTGTTACAGACAATCAGGTTTTAAATGCAGTTTGTTGATTCAAAAAACAACCGTGTATGGCAATTTCTCCCAACAACTTAGTGTTATATTGTCTATAAATTATGTTACAAAAAATATAAATAATTTACACATATAATGTCCTTATAGTTAATTACAAAATGAGCTCTGAGGTTTTTGCACAGTAAGTGCACATTTGCTTTTCTAACCGGTTAAAAAGTTTCAGACTGTGCGGACTACAATAAAAATCAGGCACATAATTGACATACTTATAGTTATAGCAGTAGTAAATTACATTTATAGAGGATCATTTTTAATAGTAATTTGTTGTGAGCAATAAAATCTATTCTCTGTTCCACTGGCTCAACAAAAAAGGTCTTGTGGAGGCTTGTTTTTATTTGCTTCTAAATAATTCCCAAGTAATTATGTAATTGAATCACTTAAATCTGCTTAACAAGCAAAATAATTTAGCTTCGTGCTAATTGTGAAAATTTTTAAGTTTAAAAAGTTTCTCTTTAGTTTTTTAATAGCTACACCAAATTTTGGCCACTTCATGTGCATTTTACAAATGCTTATTTTTATTATAGTGACAATATTTTTCTCTAACTTGTTTTTGCACTGTCCTCACTTTAAAACTTTGACCACTGGTACATATGAATGTCATTTTAAAAAAGTAGAAAAAACTAAATGATTTTTATGGCCTCTGAATTTTAGAGAAATGTTTCCTCATAGCCTTCATGCTCAGTTTGAGAGTCTGATCTAGTCACACTGTTGTAGGAGGGTGGAGAGGACATTGTAGTCTCTCTTTCTGTATCCTCTAATGGGACAGGCCCATAGTGGTGGATCATTGATGCGATTAGTCCCTGTGTTTCTGGGGCATTCTCCAGGTCCACCACAGTCTCATAGTTGATTTGTCTGTAGAGGTAGGATGCCTGCTTCATCTGCCGCTGCACCAAATGTCTCCTGTAACATCTTTGGATGACAATAGCAGAGACCTCCTCCATTTTGCGTCGCAGAGTTGAAGTAATCGGTTCATGGGAAATTTTGGAGGGGTTTGTTGCCATGAATTTCTCCTCCATCTGTTGTTTAAGAGCATCCATTTCACCTGACTCCCCCAGAACACGTTTTGTGAAGGCAAACAAGATGTCCAGGCAGTGAATGCGGTCACCACTGACCATAGGGAGGTCCATGGCAATCAGTTTGATCCTGTTGGGCTTAGCTATGCGCAGTGGTTCTGACAAACTGTCTGCAAAGTTTGATAACTTTGAAAACTCAATGAATTGTGATGCTTCAGAATCAAACTTTTCCCAAACCTCATAAAACATCTCAAAGTCATCCTCACTGAGGGGCTCAGTACTCTCCTCTGTCGCAACACTGAAGTTTTCCAGAATGATGGCTATGTACATGTTGACCACAATGAGAAAAGAAATGATGATGTAGCTGACAAAGAAAGCAATGCCCACTGATGGGCTCCCACAATTCCCCTTCGTGTTGGTGCCAGTGTTCACAAAGGTCACATCACACTCATCAGGTAAGCTGGCCAAGATGGGGCTGAGCAGGTTGTCCCAGCCTGCAGAGGTACTGATCTGGAACAGGCAAATCATACTATTCCCAAAAGTTTCAAAGTTGAACATGTCATCAATCCCGTCTTGTTTTTTCACATATGCAAAGTTTGCCATACCGAAAATCGCATAAATGAACATAACAAGGAAAAGCAGGAGGCCGATGTTGAAGAGTGCAGGCATAGACATCATTAAGGCAAATAGTAAAGTCCTTATTCCTTTGGCTGCGCGTATGAGACGGAGAACACGGCCAATCCGGGCCAATCTGATGACTCGAAATAACGTTGGGGAAACAAAATACTTCTCAATAATGTCTGCCAGAACAATGCCTAAAATGAGAGCAAAAAAAACGTTATACTTGTATTCCTAATAATATTAATCCTATTGATGTCTCTGTATTTCACCTTTGTATAATATAAACTATACCTTCACTCACCAACAATAGAGAGAATAATGACCACAAAGTCAAAGATGTTCCATGCCACAGTGAAAAAGTAACATCGGAGGGCAAAGATCTTGAGAAGACATTCAGAGGTGAAGATGACGATGAAGACCAGATTGATGTTGTTAAGGATGGACTCTGTGCGCTGTGACTGTTCATCCGTCTCCACCATCATCGTCACCATGTTCACGATAATCAGCATCATGATCATTATGTCAAAGGCTTGTTTGGACACTAGGTCAAAGAAGAAGCCCTGGACAATGTTCTGAAATATAACATAAGGTTTGTAATTTTACATATCTATCTGTTTATATTCATCCCATTTCTTACTTTGGAGCATAACAGTATAATACCTGGTTTATGATACCGGTACCTATATAATACGTCTTTAGATGCTGTGTTAATTGTTATGTTTTGTCTTTGAGCAAAATCGTTTTTATAATTTTTACATGCTGGGATTGCCTAGTCATTTTTATATAGCTTTCTTTTTTATATAGCTTTCTCACAACACTCAATTACCACTCAGGTATCAAAACTTTTTTTTCCAATAAATCATATTTTTTATACCAGCTTGACAAAAATCAGACAATTTTTGATTATATGATGTCATTTACCGCAGGTCTTGGTATTGGTTTTTGTGGCTTCTTAGATCCCAGTTTCTTCATTGCATTATAGTACTTCTTCTGTTCTTCAGTCATAAAGATATCCTGCCCACCTAAGTATAATCATAACAATAATATATTATTTTAAAGAAACCAGAAGATGACATATTTTAATTCATGTAATACACTGGCAGGTGTAGCTATACTTATCTTTCGTTTCTGTTGGTTGAAGTTGTCAATAATGACACCAATGAAGAGATTAAGGGTGAAGAAAGAGCCAAAAACTATAAAGACAACAAAGTACAAGTACATGTAGAGGTTGATCTCTCTGACTGGTTGCTCCTCCACCTGAAAGACATGATTTAGTTACTTCATAAAAAATTCACTCTAATAAACTTAAAATACCAAAAATACTTACTCCTCTGGAGTCAACAGCTGCATACATGATTTCCATCCACCCTTTGAATGTAGCCTTAAAAAGAAAAAGACGCATTAACCACTATAACCCTTTACATGGCTGAACGAATAACTGCTTCTCAGAATCAGTTTCTTAAAATAGCCTCAGAAATCACAGCAGTAAGTACAAGTGCAGTGTAAGTGCCCTGTTTAAGTGCATTTAATCTATAGTCTAGTGTTTGCTGCTGCAAATGGACATAATTAGAGATAGGCAAAGATTAATCCACGGAAAAAACACTTGTTTCAGTTGTGATTAAAGTAAGGGTGCACAGTAAACTTGAACTTAGTCAATAGTTAGATCATAAAGGAGCTCACCACTTGTAGAAGTGAGAGATATCCAAGCCCCACATTGTCAAAGTTGACTTTAACTGTGGTCCAGTAAAACTGTGTGTCATTGATGGAGATGCACTGTGACTTGTTGTTGACCAAAGTGAGGCTGTGGGTGAAGCCTGTTCTGTTCACACATTTGCCAAACTTTCCTGCGAAAAGGTTAACACCCATAATGCTGAAGATGAGCCAGAAGATGAGACACACCAGCAGCACATTCATGATGGAGGGGATGGCACCAATGAGAGCATTCACAACCACCTGAAACCAGAGAGCAGCAAGTAATTCGTGTTATGAATGTAATGTTTGATTAATAATACAGAACACAGAACATACAGCTTAAACTATACTGTATTCTGAAAACAAACTAAACACCAATTAGTTAAACATAGCTGTGTGAAGTGGTAAAACATTTATTACATTTGATTTGATTTTGTTTTATTTAGTTTGGCTTTAAGTTCAGGTTCATAAACATGAACAAAACAGACTTCAGTTAAGTGCCAATTAACTCCACAAAATAAAATTTAGTTCTCAAAGATTTCAAGTCTTCTACATGCTTCTAGTGCTGAAGGATTAGTTGATAGATCATGTTGATTAAAAAAATCTTGCAATCTGTAACTGTGAAGTCGGGATTTGATTAAAATCAAAATAATTGCACAGTACCAGTTCAGCATAATGTAATTACTGTGGACTCACTCTCATTCCCTCAAATCTGGACAGTGCCCTTAGCGGTCTCAAAGCTCGAAGTGTCCTTAGAGACTTGATGGCAGCAAAGTCTGAATATCCCAGAGAATTGGCCACGAGGCTTATCAGAGACACCTGCCCAAAACAGACAGTACATAGTGAGTTATAATTAAACCATTCAGTACAGATATACAATGTCAATGTGCAGAAAATCAGTAAAATAAACAATCCCAAATTTTTTTTTCATTATACTTTTAAACTTTAATTTGAAGTTTAAATTTAGTTCATTTTAATTGTGGGTTGTTGCATTTTTGTTTTTTTGTTTTTTTTCAGTAAATTTAGATTTCCACTCTATTCTACATTGAAGGAGACAGAATGGTTTTCTGAATGATCCTGAAATGGTATGATATTTACTGAAGAACCAGAGTTGTGTCAGGAGTGATGATGAGTACAGACCAGTATGCCCTTATGCACACAGAGTCCATAAACACATACTCTATATATACATACAGTACATATGTATATATATCAAATAGAGTGAGTTTTATAAAGAATCTGGAGTGTATTGCCAGATATGTTTCCAATTTCTGTTCATTTGAATTAATACATTCTTTAGAGCGATTTTGGTTTTCTTTATAAAAGTCAATTTAAAGATGTTTTTGACCAATAAATATATCTATAGAAGATATGTTTTGTTGTTGTTCTTACACAAAAAGTGATAACATATTTTATTAAAAAGAAGACAAGAACCCTGTGTCTCTTATTCCAATGTCCCAAAGTCCACAAATGATCAACAAGTCCTGTCCAAATATCTTAATTTTCCATTATCTTCTGTAGATAAGCTTCAACAGTGCACCACATTAGTTTCTGATATAAAAGCCAAGCCATGTAGGAAAATATATTAAACAATATTAACTAATAAGTAATAAAAGAACACATTTTAGCTACAAGAGAGTGGCTTTTAATATCAGAAAGTGCTTACAAGTGAAGAAACACAGCATTTGTGATGCAGATGTTTCCTAATGTTTCTAGTCCCAGAGTCTACTCACCTGAGACCGGCTAACTATGACTTACCCTAACAATAGAGCGGTCAGTGGCAATCTGTGTAAACGCAGGTGAAATCACAGGAGTCAAGTACGCCTCTGGCTTTAGTTTATGCAGCCACACACACACACACACTCATCACAACATAACAACATACTGTACCACACCAAGCTGTCAAGCAGCCTCTTACAGTTGAGTGGGATTGGACAAGAAACTCAAGATCCATAACAAGAGAGTGTTCCTGTTGACAGCTTGAGCATATAAAGATATTGATAGAAAACTTACATCCACAATGAGAAAGTCCAGCCAACACCAGTAGTTGGTGAAGTATTTCTTGAAGCCGTAAGCGATCCATTTGAGGAACATCTCCAGCACAAAGATATAAGAGAACACCTTGTCTGCGTATTCCAGCACAACTTTTACAACCTTTCTCTGCTCGATGTAGATGTCTTCAAAAGCCTGTGGGAGCAAACACACATGTTAAAGTCATAAAATCTGCACCTAATCCGCACCTTAAAGTCTACAGATCTAAATCTTACCAAGGCCCCACTGCTCAGAAGAATCATGAAGATGATAAATGTCTCAAACCAGCTGTGCTCCACAATTTGGTAACAGGTTTTCCTCAGGCGCCACCACACCTGAGCCAGGCCTCGAGTTACGTCAATACGGCAGCACTCACAGTGACGGACACATACTGTAAAAACATATTCGTCACACTTAGAACTGCTCTAAGGAGATCATAGTTTTACAGTGTTCATCAACGTTACGTTTACAGCACTCAGGACTAATATTGACCTGTGTAGATGTGTGGTTTTCAAATGTTTCACACCAAGTACCAAGATAAGATATGGCTTTTCAAGTACCATCAGAGGGCTAAACAGAGCTAAATAGCCTTAAACTCTGACTAAATCTGTTGAAAACATAAATAAACTATGGATAACTTAATAATGAATAGCTTCACGTACCACCAGACACCGTATCACAATTTGATAAACAGTTGTAGATTAAATTTCACAAACCTTCAGGAAAACACTCCTCTGGGTCCATACTGTCCTCTCCAAGCTCTGACAAGTTGTCCTGCTCTTCTCCAGGTTTTCTCAAGTCCACTGTGCTGCCTTCAGACAGGCTGATCTTTTCCTGAAAACAGTAATATTGCATTACAAACATAAATTTTTACTTCAGATCTCGCCCCACACTGTGCCTAGTCCATGAACAGTGAAAAAAAAAACAATTCTACAAATCTGATGAGATTTTGTATCAGGTAATAGCAGCATATTTAGTCAAGTTCAAAGGACAGCAATTCAGCCTCAATCCTATAAAATGGTATGTACTGTGGTTTAATCCAAGAGCATTCATAAAATTAAAATGAGATTACCACATGTTTCAGTGTGCAACCACTAAACTGATAAGGTTTTGTACTTACTGATGCATACATTACCTATACCTTTGTTAATTAGTAGTATTGATTTATTTGAATAAATTTGAACACACACACTTGTTTCCATGTTTCTAATACTGTGTGGGTGTACCGGGCTAAATGACCAGTGTGTACCAGACTGTGCTCCTCACTTTATGCCTCTATAATCTGTGCGCTGGGCCTCGCTCCACATCTGGACGACAGCTGTGAGCAGCCAAAGACTGAGCCACCCGCACCAACAAACCCCGACATGCTCTTTCACATTCAGGACACAGTCAGGTCAGAGCAAGGTATTATACACTGCTGTATAGTACAGTACTTTCCCTTAGGTTGACTAGAGAGAATAAAGAAACTGTAATAAAGATGTATTTTGTTAATCCCTATTTGAGATTACAGAGGCTCATGGTTGTCAATTTCAGTGATCTTCTTATATATTTGGTCAGAGTGCAGTCACAATTTAGTTGAATCAACCCCTCTTCAGACGTAAGATATCTTTGAAAAAATATGATCTAATGTATGTAAATATGAAAATCATGATAAATATTTTTCTAAACATTGCGAGGGCAATGAATATGAAATATGTTTTAATAGAACCACATATCAATATTTATCTTATTGCATTTTACAAGAAAGGACTAAATAATGGGATTTTAATGGGCTCTGTTGGATTTTATCATTTACAATGACTTTTCTTATAACTATAACCAAATATAATAATGTGTGCTGGATGGACAACGAACTAAGATAAAGAAAGTAAAGTGGAGCACTGACCAGTTTGTTTTCTTCATCTTCTGAGGAGTCAGTGATGTCCTCTTCCTCCAGCTCCCCGTCAGACTCTCCAGGAGCTATCGGGACCACAATGGTCAGGTTTGGGTTGGTCATGTAACTGTCCTCCTCTGTGATTATATACTTCTCTCCAAACCGACTGATGACTCCCCCATTACAATCCAAGTGATTCCCAACCAGTTTGTTCCCTGAGCAGGTTTCCTTGGTTTTAGTGCCTTTTAATCCACGGTTGCGCAGGTTCAGCAGACTCCTGAAGAGCCAGGTGACTCCGCTGTGGATGCGGGCGATGGCCAGTTGAATATTGTTCAAGTCTCCGTCTTCGTCCGGGGCCGAGAGGTTATCTGAGCTGAATGAGCTGAGCAACAGGGCCAGGAAAAGATTCAGAACCTGTTAAAACATTAAGATGTTAGTTATAAGGTGTAAGTAAATAAGTCTATATTTATATAGCGATTTCACAGACATTTTCTGTCCCCAAAGACACTTTACAGAGCATTATTCAGCATTATTCATTCACTCTATACCCTGGTGATGGTAAGCCACTATTTCAGCCACAGCTGCCCCGGGTACACTGACAGAGGCACAGCCACCATGCCAATTATTATTATTAATTGTATTTAATAAAAAAATAATTAATTCTATCAACTGTTTATGGAGACCTATGTAGCATGTTTTGGGTTGATGGGGAAAACCTATCCAGAAACAGGGAGAAACAGGCAAACTCCACACAGAAAGGCCCGGGCAACCCGGGGATCAAACCCAGAACCTTCTTGCTGTGAGGCATGAGTGCTAGCCGCCTGTAGAGGTCTTTGCAAGTTTTATACACAGCCCCTTTAAGATTTAGTTCTCCACCAAAGACATTCCATTACCAGGTATTTGCTGACCATAAAAAGTGCATTTTTATTTGACTGTAAATAATCTTGCAGACTTTGGCTAATAATTTCAGGTAAATTAAAACAGTAATGCAATAGCCATTTTCTGACCAAAAACTAAATGTTTAGCTATGCTGAAATGTGACTCATATTTACATTTACAGGGCATACAATGTCTACACTGTATCTAGAAGGTGTTATTGACAGACTAATACAGCTCAGTGACTTGAGGATTAAATAGCACGACATGATAAGACTCTACATATTTTGTCAACAAATACAAATCCGGTATTGTTCAGTCCGGATGATATCGTGCATCATCACATACGGCTTCAAGTGCTGCAGTGAAGTGTTCAAACATGCAGTGATTGGACCACAAGCTTAAAGCTCTGTGTGCACAGTCAGAGAAGAGAACATGAGCGGATGATTAATGATGAATGCCCTTTGACCTTGTTGCCCCTAAGCGTCATGGATAATCCTTATGTAAACGGCTTTTGCACAATTCACATGACATGTACCACAAAAGGTGATGTCATGACATCACTTTTCTAATAGGACAATTAGCTGGAGGTGGTTCTGACCTTTGAACTATGACCTGTTAGACCTTCTCAGTGCTACAGTGTATCCAATGATTCAGTGATCCTAAACTAAACTAATGAAATGTAAATCTAAAATTGTTCAATAATACAGGAATAACTACACTGGTAAGTGGTTTGTATCCAAAATATGATGCAATATATATATATAGCCACAAATTGAACAAAATTATAATTTTATGTAGATATATATGCCGCATGCATGCTGGGTCCAAAAAACTAAATATTTACTTTAAAATTATTTGTCAGTATTTTTATCCGTATTGAACATTGTGCATTATAATATTAGCTGTCTCGATGTAGCTTGAACAAAAAATATTACTTAAAAAATAACAGAGCTAATAAGAGTTTATAATAAAATAGTATGTATAATATGTATATAAATTCCTTCCGGGATTTCATTTCCTGGTCTTATTAACACTAGCTTACAGCACACAGCTGGGCAGCAAATCTCCATAAGAGGACACAAATATACTATAAATACTATCTATAGTCTGTCAGGAGATTTTCTAAGTAAGATTTACTGCAGTGCACAGTAAATACACAGTGGCCTTGGTTGATCCTTTATAGTACTCCGTTGGGTCACAATATCACTCATAAGGCTTAGCTCATTAGTTGTGGATAAAACCGGAACTACTGTACAGAAACAGGAGGCTCTCTGTGTTTCTCAGGCTGTAGTGTAGATAACGCACATAAACACATATTACTTAGGCAGCAGATGGTTCAAAGGTCCCAGACATGACCCAGGTCTGGTCAACTAATTGTTAATAGCTATCATGTACAATTAGCAAGCCAACATGGCATAGTGTTTATTATAATAACAAGAATAATAAGAATAACAATAATAATAATAATAAAATATGATCTCCTCCTCCTTGTATTTTGGGTTCCCAGGTGGTTTTAACTTAAAAAGACTCACTCTGGTCTGAATCCTCACTACCTAAAATCATTTATCAGTGCTAATGCAACCTGTGTGCATCTCAGTGAGTGAATTGTGAAGGATCTGACCTTTAATATGAGGTGTGTGTCCTTTACCTGCATATTTAGTCAGACTTAAGTTACCTCATAAACATAAATATATACATTTACATGAATTAACTGGCTCCAAGAAAATTGTCATTATAATTTTTGGGAATATCCCACCCCCTACTACAGTATACATACATCAGATTTGTCACATACCACCAGGTTTCCAATGACCATGACCAACATGAAGACCAGGATGCAGAGGGGCTGTCCTGCCACCTCCATACAGTCCCACATGGTCTCAATCCACTCTCCACACAGCACCCGAAACACAATGAGGAAGGAGTGGAAAAAGTCCTTCATGTGCCAGCGGGGTAACTGACAGTCAAAGGAGATTTTACACACACAGTCCTGGTAGTTCTTCCCAAAAAGCTGCATCCCCACCACTGCGAAGATAAAGACGATGATGGCCAGTACCAAAGTCAGGTTCCCCAAAGCGCCCACAGAGTTCCCAATGATCTTAATGAGAGTGTTCAGGGTGGGCCAGGACTTCGCCAGCTTGAAGACACGTAACTGAACAGAAAAAGAGTTATTGAAACACTTTTACTAGGACTTTTAGTTGGATAACAGATATTTTAGAAATGTTAACTGAGGGTCTCCTGCGCCTGATTAAATTTTGTACAGTACAACATGATCTGTAGAACAAACAGGGCAGAGCAATTAAAAGGAAAAAGTGTATTAAGATCCCTGTAACCCCGTTTGAATCATATTGTAAAAAAATCTTTGCTACATTCTCTAGCACTAGTAAACTCTACTAAATAATTAATATCCATAAAGGGATGTATCATTATTCTACTCTGTGTGTAGCTCAAATGTTATAAAAAACAAAGTGCACAGACAATAAATATAATTTTTCTCACCAATCTAAAGGAGCGCAGCACAGACAACCCTTCTACATTGGACAGTCCCAGCTCCATCAGACTGAGGCATACAATGATCCCATCGAAAATATTCCAGCCCTGTTGAAAGTAGTAGTAAGGGTCCAGTGCAATCAGCTTTAGCACCATCTCTGCTGTAAAGATGGTTGTGAACACCTGGGGATGATAGAACCAGACTGATGTTGGTAAAAGATAATACTAGTATTTTTTACAGCTAAAATTTGTGTAGAGGTTTTATAACCAATTTAGAATAACAAGCATATCTCTAACTTCTATAATTAAACACTAAAAAGAGACAGAAAATGTCAAATGTAATTGTCCAAATCAGGGTATAAAATTAAAATAATATATTCTCTGCACTTTGGTGGTTAATTTCATAGCCCATTCATGTTTTGAACAATACTTTAACTACAACTTTTAGAAGCATGTTTTGGCACATTCCATTCAATATTAGGCCTGTCACAATAACAAATTTTGAAACATGTTACACTTCTTCAGAGATATACTGAGATAAACAATAAAATTTAAATTACTTTATGCAATGACAGTAATGCAAGATAACCCCAGTAAAACATTTTTAAATAGACAAATGCATTCAAAAGACATGAACTGCAACAAATAAATAGCAGAATTAACTAATAATTAGCCATAGAAGTTAGATAATTAGAAGTTAGTTATTCAACCTTCTAAATACTTCTAGATTTCATATATTGAACAATAAGTCAGTATAGTAACTTTAGTGACAGGCCTGTGAAAGATTGATATTGTAAATATAATGATAATGAACTATAAAGGTACCACAACACAACAACCACAACAATTTCTGGAGAAGGCTCCAAGCTTAGCTGTCTGTCAAACATAAATTAGCCAATGGGTATGCATCCATGGAAATCCCACCCACTTGTTACATTGTGCCAAAGCTGTAAGCAAAAAGTCAGTGTGCACAAATGAGAAGGCTGGAATCATAACCAATGAAAATGGCATCAAACAAAATTGAGAAAGATGCAGAAACAAAATGTTTTCAAAGATATTTTACACAATTACACAAATAATTTGATTGCAAATATATTTATTTTATATTGTTACTTTGGTTTATACTTTTTTGCTTGATGTTTTAAAAGCATTCTAACTATTTGACTCAAAATTGATTCCATACATGTTTGGTTCCGAAGGGTACCAACGTAGGCAAACATTGTAGCTGAACATCGAGATGGGAGGGGTGACGTAAGAGCTGAAAGTGCCATCTTAAAATTTTATCAAAAATAACATTATCTGGAAAGTTTCATAGCTCTAACTGCAGAATGCAACACATTTTTTTCAACTGCAAAAAAAAGAGTTTGCAAAATGTACACAAAAGGTCACCATGGGTGTAAGAGGGTTAAAGTAGAACCTCTGAAATGGTCAACACGTTCCAGTCTAAGATAAAAATAGGATGCACTAACAGTGTAGGATGGAGAGGCCATCACTTAAATGTGCAACAAACTCCTGACACAGTACACCTGTGGGTGTTAATTATAGTCCTATCAAGAACTTGTTTTCAAAATATTATAACTATTTAGCCAATGAAACATGAAGTGAGTCCTGCTGATTACTATGACATAACTGATTAACTGAGAGATTAACTGTATTCTGAATACCACCAAATGAAAGAGTAACTGTACTGGAATAAATTTACTCAAAATTAATATTTTGAATACCTATTCTTGGTTTATCTATTAAGTTACTTCCCAATACTGGTTATCGACCAAGTGTCTATTTATTTATTTTTGTTTAAGATTAAGATTTAAAAGTAACTGCGTGTACAGAAAACATTTATGTGTGCATTATATCAACCCAAGCAAAGGTAGTCCTGACCAAGCCTCGCTCAAGATCAGAAGATTCTTGACAGGTTGCTTGAGGAATGGGTCAAATACAGAGGACACATTTCTTAACAGAGCCAATAAAGGCTAAACAACTCAGCAATGATTATTTTACTTCCTAATAGGGCACCTGTGTTTCTTTGAAGTTTAGAAATCTTATGTAAATCAGTAATTCAGATTTATCTATGTAAACAAAGTGCTTACCAGGTTTCCCACAGACAGCATAGTGTTGAACTCCTCAGTCATGGGGTAGTGCTCCAGTGCCATGAACAAAGTGTTGAGGACGATACAGATGGTAATGCCCAGGTCCAAGAAAGGGTCCATCACCATCAGCTTCACGCACTGCTTTATCTTCAACCACCAGGGGCAGCACTCCCAGATAAGGTATTTTTTAGCAAATACATACCAGCGGGGATGGCACTTCTGACGAGACTCTTCAAGCTCTGCAAACACAAATGTCTATTTTAATATTATGATTATTAAACTCACAGGGAAAACAGACAATTTCACAGCACCCTTACATTATTTGTAATTTGTAATAAATTAGTTTTAAAGGTGCATTATGTAATTTTTCTGGTGGGGGTCTGTAAAACCACCTGTAATTGTTTAAATGTAAGGTAGAGCTGTTTAATGTCATACTGTGGAACATTCGAAGCAGAGCAATGACATAGCCATAAAAAACAAGATGGACCCCCAACCAAAAAGTTACACAGTGCACCTTTAAGTCAAAATCTGAGAAATCATTTACAATGTAGAAAACAAACTCAACAATAAGACAATTAGCTTAATATCTCATTATACACTAAAGATTAAGTAGTTCCTGGTCAGTTTACAGTAGTTTTGCTCTTGTGTGTGAATAACTTTATTTGTTTGACTGACCGTCCATGACGTCACTAAAGAAGCTGACAGAGCTGAGCCCTCTCTTCCTGGGCACTCGTGGGGGCTCTGCCATGGCGGGCGAGGGCTGGAGTGCTCTGGCTATAGTCTCCTCTGTGCATTTAGGCTTCTGTGACACAAAGAAGACACTTTCGAACACAAATGGGATGTGACTAAAGATTGTTTTGTCTTGATGCTTAATTTGGTCATACTCTATTATTATGCAGGCTCCTGAATAAATATATTGCTACGAATATTTTATTATATTATGCTTATTTTCGAAAAAAGAATATATATATATTCATGTAATACAATAGAAATACTTACTATTTTCTATTTGTCTATAGCTGTGTCTTTTAAAATTGTGATTTATTTGCAATATATTAACTATACTGTGCTATTAGCAGTATTAGGAGTCATGTTTTGCAAACTGGATCAAATCCTGGGGTACTCTGTGATTCCCAGCTCTAATTGCAAAATGATTTATTTCTGTCCATACATAAACCATATACTTACTGCGTCTTCCTTGATCCTCTCCATGCTAAAAGCCGAGATGGACTTGGGGCTTTGAAGTCCGGTGGCTCCATTCTGGTCGAGGGAGATATTTAGTCGCCCATTCAAATTGAGAGTGGGTGTAAAGACCTGGGACCCATGACTTCTCACACTGCTGGCCCTTCGTTTCCATGGCGTGGCGCTGGAGTTGGTTCTACTCCTGAAGTCTCCATGATTACTGTGCTCATCGTCTCCATCGGCTTCTGAATTGTTGCGAGCTCTGAATGCACTGAAGATGCTGACCTGGCTGCTTCGCCTGGTGCTGAGGGGATGAGAGGACAGTGTAGCCAGCAGAGGATGGGCTGGCATCGGGGACAGTGGAGCCTGTGTAGGAAAAAATATTACAGATAAACAATTATATAAAATAAGTTAAAATTACTTGAGTTATAAGAATCAATTTATCTTAATTTGAATCTATTTAGACCAGTCACTCTGAACTGGTTGTATTTTCTTATTTCAGGTACAATAAATTCTTAATATTTTCTTTGCAGAATTCTCTTCACTGGCCAAAATCTGGTTAAATCAACATACACAATTCTAATTCAAGAATTTCATGATCAGATTAATGTTTTCCCATGAATTAATTTTCTTATTACAAAACTCAATATGAAATAAAAACATGCCACAGGAGGATTTTGTACCATGAGCTCATCTGGCGGGTCTAGCTTGTCTTCTGTAGTGTCCTCTCCCACTTCCTCAGATAAAGTCCGATAGGACCTCCTCCGCCGTGTGCTGCAGCGGCGTATGATGCCCATTTTCACAGAGTAAGGAGACAACTCTGGAGACACCATGGCCTGTGCCTCCTGGGCCTGTCTTTTTGCTGCCAACTTTTAAAAAAGTTGTTGTGGAAAAAAAAGAGTGTTGTGCAAATTAAAATCTTCCAAGTAGATTTGCATGGAAAATTAAATTTTTTTGTATCACATTACCAGTAAGTACAACTAACCCAATTAAAAAATAATCTGGTTTACAATACAATTATCAATCAATCAATTAAACTTTATTTATAGAGTGCTTTTCATACAAAAAAATGCAACACAAAGAACTTAAAAGGTCAAAATTAAAAGGGAAGATTTCATGCTGCTCTATGCTCATTTCTGTGGAAATGTTATTGCTTTACCCAGGAAAGTTCCACTGTACAGCGTTAAATGCATCTACCTCCACAAAGATGAGCAGGTCGTGCTAAAAGGTTACAGATCAGGTCTATGGCGAGGTGCCACTCACAATAAGTGTTTTTCAATGTAATTTTACCACAATAAAAACACCTGCAGTTAAAAAAGTGCTAAGTAGATAAGTTTAATGCCATACTGTTGAACATTCCTCGTAAAGCAATATCTCCATGGAGACAATCAGCTAGAACAGAAAAGTTACAGAAGTGCATCTTCCAACACTGATTTCTATTTAAATTCTTCTACATCTGGTTACTTGAGTCTCTTGCTTTACAAACCTTTTTTAGCAGAAAATGGGTATTAATTAATTGGGTTATCATACTGTGCACATACTCTTTGCTCTCTGCGTAGGTGCTCCATGGCTAGTTGAAACTCCCTCTCCTTCTGCCAAGCCTCTGCGATGGTGGCCTGATTCTGCTCCTCATAAGCCATAGCCACAACAGCTAAGATCAGGTTGACCAGGTAGAAGGAGCCCATGAAGATCACCAGCACAAAGAAGATCATGTAAGTCTTCCCCGCAGAGCGCAGGGTCTGTAGAAGGTAAGAAGGGATTTTGTTTTTTTAGAGACTGATACAATACAGTGTGAAGCTGACAAATATAATTATTCATTTTTAAATTATGTCTGGTGTCTGGGATTGAGAGTAATGTAATTTCAACTATCTCTAAGTTTTTAACATGTAGAAATTATCAAATCTTACTTTTGAACGATAACATATTAAGATGAGTCACATGCAGTTATTAGTATTATAAGATATACAGTAAGTTTTTTACTCAGGGCAGTCAAGAAAGAGGTTGAAATTTAGCACCTGGTGGAAGAGTTTTTCCCAGTAGTCTTGAGTCATGAGCCTGAAAAGAGCCAGAAAAGCCCAACCAAATGTATCAAAACTTGTGTAGCCATAGTTTGGGTTTCTTCCAATCTTCAGACAGTCATATCCATCTGGACACTTCCTATAAAACACAAAAAAGATATAAGATTTAAAGAATGTTTAGACAAGTTACTGCTCTGAATCTCAATACAGTTTAAGTATATAATTAGGCAAGTGGGTATTTTGACCATATCACAATTTTTATTCTCCAACTCCAAGCTGTATAAACTTTTAAATTCTTATTGGATTTAACCATATCAGATGATGTGTATTTGTCTAATTGACAGTGTGGCCTTGTTTTCCTCAGGCAAAATGGGCTAAAAAGAGATTTAACTGACTCTGAAAAGTAAAAAAAAAAAAAAAAAAAAAGACACAAATTAACTGCAAGAGATTTGAGAAAAATCTAACATGAAGCTACCAAGAACCCATCATCCTCCAGCTGTGTCATATTACAGAACTGCAGCCCACCTGGAGAGTTCAGAAGTACAAGGTGTTCAGTGCTCAAAGACATTGCTAGGGTAAGGAAGGCTGAAACCCAACCACCACTGAACAAACATGTGCTGAAATGTCAAGACTGGGCCAAGAAATATCTGAAGACAGATTTTTCAAAGGTTTTATGGACAAGAGTGACTTTTGATGGACCAGATGGATGGGTCCATGGCTGGATCAGTAATGGGCACAGATCTCCACTTTGACTCTGCCAACAAGGTGTAGGTGGGGCACTGGTATGAGCTGTTATTATTAAAGATGAGCTGTTTGGTTCTTTTCAGGTTCAAAATGGACTCAAAATGAACTCCAAAACTGACTGCAAATTTTCAGAAGACACTTTCTTCAAGCAGTGGTACAGGAAAAAGTCTACATCTTTCAAGAGGACCATGTTTTTTATGCAGGACAATGCTCCATTGTATCCACCGTAGTACTCCACTGTGTGGCTACCTAGTAACAGTAAGAGCACTGTAGCTGTTCAATTATAAAATTAATCCTCATAAATACAACTTGCCTAATAATTATGCAGACAGTTTGCATCACCAAGTATTTATTCCATTTCTAAACTGGATTACAGTGAGCCAGACAAATCTTAAATTTGTGTTGGAATGGTCAAACTGGTCAAATTGTCACAGGTACATAAAATATTCTTTATGGACAGCCCTGTGGTTTTTCCATTATGGAGAGGGATGTCTTTCTTTACAGCAACAGCTTTTTTGTTTACTGCAGACATGGCTGAAAAAAAAAAAAAAAAAAAAAAAAAAAAAACTAACACTCTAGAGTCTAGGTGTTAAAAAAAAATATATATATATATATATATATATATATATATATATATATATATATATATAAATGTGTTTCGGCTCGGGTCCTCTACCAGAGGCCTGGGAGCTTGAGAGTTCTGCGCAGTATCTTTGCTGTCCCCAGTACTTTCTGAACTGAGATGTCCTTTGTTTTTCCCGGTATCTGTTGTAGCCACTCTTCCAGTTTGGGGGTTACAGCCCCGAGTGTCCGATCACCACAGGCACCACTGATGCCTTCACTTTCCAGGCTCTCTCCAGCTCTTCCTTGAGCCTCTGGTATTTCTCTAGTTTCTCGTGTTCCATTTTCCTGATATTACCATCGCTTGGTATTGCGATGTCCACCACCACGGCTCTGCTCTGTTTCTTATCCACCACCACTATGTCTGGTTGGTTCGCCACCACCATTCTGTCAGTCTGTATCTGGAAGTCCCACAGGATCTTGGCTCGGTCATTCTCCACAAACTTTGGAGGTGTTTCCCACCTTGATCCTGGGGTCTCCAGCCCGTACTCTGCACAGATGTTTCTGTACACTATGCCCGCCACTTGGTTATGTCGCTCCATGTATGCTTTCCCTGCCTGCATCTTACACCCCGCAGTTATGTGCTGGACTGTCTCAGGAGCCTCTTTGCACAGTCTACACCGTGGGTCTTGTCTGGTGTGGTAGATCTGGGCCTCTATTGCTCGAATGTCCAGGGCCTGCTCCTGAGCAGCCAGGATCAGTGCCTCTGTGCTGTCCTTCAGACCAGCCCTCTCAAGCCATTGGTAGAATTTCTTGATATCAGCCACTTCAGTTATGTTCCGGTTGTATGCCCCATGTAGGGGTTTGTCCTGCCATGATGGTCCCTCCAGCACCTCTTCCTCTGGACCCCACTGTCTGAGACATTCTCTGAGCACCTCATCTGTCAGGGCCTTGTCCTTGATGTACTCAAGGAGCTTGGATATTTCATCCTGGACAGTGTTTCCCACACTCACAAGTCCTCGGCCTCCTTCTTTCTGGCTTGCGTAGAGTCTCAGGGTGCTGGATTTGGGATGGAACAATCCATGCATGGTCAGGAGCTTTCGTGTCTTAACATCTGTGGTCTGTATCTCCTCCTTTGGCCAGCTTATGATTCCTGCAGGATATCTGATCACTAGCAGGGCGTAGCTGTTGATTGCCTGTGCCTTGTTCTTGCCATTGAGCTGGCTTCTTAGGACTTGCCTTTTCCTTGTTGCCTCTTTGAGGTTGCCATTTGTTTGTGGGATACCAAGGTACTTGTAACTGTCCTCAACATCTGCTTTTGTTCCCTCTGGGAGTGACACCCCCTCTGTGTGGACTACCTTCCCTCTCTTTGTCACCATCCTGCTACATTTCTCAAGCCCGAATTACATTCCAATGTCTGTCCTGTAGATCCTGGTGGTGTGGATCAGTGAGTCGATGTCTCGCTCGCTCTTAGCGTAGAGCTTGATGTCATCCATGTAGAGCAGGTGACTGATGGTGGCCCCGTTTCTGAGTTGGTATCCATAGCCATTGTGGACGATGATTTGGCTGAGAGGGTTCAGACCTATGCAGAACAGCAGTGGGGACAGTGAGTCTCCTTGGTATATGCCACATTTGATGGACACTTGTGCAAGTGGCTTCCCATTGGCTTCAAGGGTGGTTTTCCACAACCGCATCGAGTTTGCAATGAAGGCTCTTAGAGTCTTGTTGATATTGTACAAGCACTCAGTGATCCATGTGTGTGGCATTGAGTCGTAGACTTTCTTGTAGTCAATCCAGGCAGTGCACAGGTTGGTTTTACGGGTTCTGCAGTATATACATATACATATACATATGTATATATATACATATATATGTGTGTGTGTGTGTGTGTGTGTGTATATATATATATATATATATATATATATATATATATATATATATATATATATATATATATATATATATATATAGTTCAAATACAAGTTCAGCACTGGCAAATGACTGCAGAGAAAGATTAGATAGATTAAGGCACTGGTTTTGAATGTGAGAGACTGGGGTTTGAAACTCACCTTCCCTAACTGTGTATGGATTCACTTTGGCTAACAGCACCAGTTTTTCATGAGTTTTTGACTTTTTGCTTTGTCTTTATGAGTTAAATGAGACGTAAAATCAATAAATCATTGATCATAATACAGGCATCAGATGCTGTTCTTCTATTGTACTTATGTGGTAATGCATTGCACTATCACGTAAAGTGCACAGCACCCAGTAGGTGTGCTTGGAAAACAATTTGCTTTTCTGGGCACTTTGAGTGCCACTCCACAAGGAAAACATGAGCAACATAAAATACACTGTTTATCTTAAAACTCAAATTCCAACCCTTTATGTGATAGTGCAGCGCTTTGCCATATAAGTTAAACAGAACATCAACAAAGTACAACAGTACAATTAAAGAACTAAAGAACAATAGAAAAACAGCATCTTATGCCTGTGTTGTGAACAGTGGTGTATTTTTTGAAGAAAAAAAAAAGAGAGAGAAAGAAATCTTAGACAATAGAGACCAAATGATGTTCAGGGCTTCTGTAGTTGGACTATATACAGGGCAGGACTAACATGTAACCTATCCATGTCCCCCAGGCTCTGTCTCCTCAGGGTACAAGAGCAATGTCTGTTTTTACTGGTGACATGTGCCCATCTGATTCAGACATTATGGAACATCAATGATAAAAATGTGGAAAATGTGCCATATGTGAGAATATGCTAGGGAGCTTAAAGGTGCATTGTGTAACCTATCTAGTGAAGGGTCTGTCACCTGTTTTTCTCCATGGAGATGCTATTGTTTTGTCTGAAAATTTTCATAGTATGGCATTAAACCTTTTTTATCATCATGAAGATCAAACCAGGACAGTTTACTGGTCAGATTTGTGAAGAGGCAATCCCGCCTTGATTGGAACATTTGAAGCAGAGCAATGACATATCCAGGGAAACAAAAAGGTGACAGACCTCCAACTGAAAAATTACATAGTGAACCTTTAAAATATACCCAGATATCAAGTTTTTATTACCATATACTGTAGCAGCATTTAAGGCAAACTGTGACTCTAGCACTTGAGAACATGCAGGGCAGTCGTGTCAATGTGAGGGCAGAATAATTTCATAATGGGCACAAACATCTGGGTGAGAGCACTGCCCTGTGATAACAGCTGTACATGTCACCCTGCAGCTGAGCAGAGCAGACAGAGGAGAGAGGGCCACAGGACAGTTCATTACAAAATCTACCATACATTTCCTTCTTAAACATTTCACCAATATTGCATTACAGTCTATATACAGTTTAACTCACATTTCACGCTCAACAACTTTGAACCTCTTCTGTTGTGACCTTCTCTTTGACCACATGTCATAAACAGTCCATGACACTGACCTCTTCATATGTAGCATATTTCACAGTTCAGATTCAGATCATTTCATGTATTTGTACAGTACATCAGTAGATGAACATCTGTGACCCATACGAAATGTTCCTGTGTGGAAGGTGGGGGCAGTGTTTCAATGCCAACATAAGGCTTGTCAAGGGCAAAAGTTGAAACGTCTATACAATCTGCCATAATCCTTGATGCACATTGGCTTTAAGAAGAGGAGGGACATGCATCTGCTTAACAGTTACAACAGGCAGAATTGAAAAGTGCCTTTAGCTAAAAAAAAAATCAAATCAGGCTAAAAAAGAGTCATTCGGGCTAAAAATATGGGCTTGCATTTACACAGTTTGTGTCTGTGTTAGTGTCATAACATATTCAAAGCTTTAATTTGAAAATCTACTCAGGGATTACTTGGAATACACTCAAAAGATTAGGCTTCCTCTATGTTTTGTGTCCTCTATCCTGACCTGCTTAATATTTAGTTGATCTTGACAGTCAACCTCAGAAAGTGTGTATAATTCTCATGCATATTGGAGCCCTACATTATATTGCTATTCACTAAATAAAATAAAACTTACATCAGACCCTCAATGAGCCAGTCAAGGTCAGGTTACTTTGTTGACTGAGTAACAAAAAGGTGGAAATGTCCTCAAATAGGATGCACCTATACAGCATTTTCAGTTCCAATACGGATGACGATACTATGACTTTAAGTGTCTGCTGGTCCCCAATATCAGCCGATACTAGGACAGAGATTATAATAATATAATTTATATATTTTGAAACTGTTTTATTTATTACTTATTGTTTAAAGTAACTACAGAAGAACAAGGTGTTTTGGGCTCACATTGTCCAGTATATTGTTTATTACACTGGCTCATAGCCCAAACGTCCCCCAAACGAGGTAAAAGCTGTTGGTGTATCCTTTGGCAAGACACTTCATCCACATTGCCTAGTATGAATGTTGGTGATGGACCTATGGCGCAGATTGACAGCCTCGCTTCCATCAGTCTGCCAGGGCAGTTGTGGCTACAATAGTAGCTTGCCACCTCTGAGTATGGAATGAATGAATAAGCAACTAATGCATTATTATTACTGACTGAACTGATCTTGGAACCGATATCCGCTCTATAAAAATGTTCAATATCAATGCTGATATCCGATACCAGTATCAGTGCATCCCTAAAATGGATACTCATATTGACACTCATAGTCAGTAGAAAATAACTAAACCAGACTGGCTTACAGCTTTATCGGTGTTGTTTTCACATGGAAAAAATGATGTACTATTTTGTATGATTCTAATATTAATATACAGGAGTGCCTAAAGGAAGGCATTTGTTGAAGCGGCAGGATTTGAGTTTTACACAGATGGGTATTTAGTTCAGGCCAACCCTTGAACTGGGCCTGGTGGAGCCAACGTCATCCTGCTGAGCATGTTTCAAAAGCATTGGGAATTATAGGATTATTCACTGCGTAGGCTGAGTAGCAATATTTGGATGGTGTCACATTGTCCCTTTGATTGGAAACAAATCTCTACTGGATATTATTGACAAAATTTGGTGTTTTCCATTTCTAGCACGCTCGAACACTGTTTCAGAATCATATATGCATTGTCCTTTGTATTTTAAGATACCAGTCCAATGCAGACCAGAGTATTAACAAAACAGTTCATGGAGCTTTTGAGAAAATGAAATGAACTCGTCTACAGCTGCTGACTCTGGTTCCAAGTACAGAGTTCCTTTGAAGCCAGAGCGATTATCTACACCACATGTTGTCTTCTGCACACCACCTCAACACACGCAACACAACCATCCTGCCACCGCTATGCCTCCTATACATGACATCAAGCCTCAGCCAGACACATAGAGAATAAAAGACTCCCTCTATTGTCCAGTGCTACGGCTGTGCTCAACCTGCTACATCTAATTATACACAAGACATGCAAGGGATCTAAAGCCATGAGACTGCAATGTTTAAAGTGTTACGTAACAGTGGACATGATTAAGTGTCAACAGCACGATGGGCTTTTACTTACCCTGCATCACTTCCATATCCACAAATTAAGGCATCCTTTGCTCCTTCAACTTTGTAGAAATTTTCTAGAAAAGTATAAATAAAATATAAATAAAAGTCAATTTATTGATAATGAATTGCTTTGTATTTGCAGAGGTTTACCATTTTTGTCAATATTACCCCCTAATGAAAACAAGCAATGTATTTTACTAAGATCACCAGATGGATAGTTGGATATAGCTCAGGAGGACTGTGGAATGTATAGTGAGACACTTAATCCAAACAATACTCCGGTCAGAGAGCAAATTAGGACACAGGAACGTATTTTGGAGCTTTAATGTCCTGTCGTCAATTTCTTAAGATGGTTGTTTGATTTTATCTGTTAATCTGTCCTTTCATCTGTAATCTCTGTCAAAGCTGCAGACTTAGATAGGTTAAAGGTAAAGATCTAAAGCTACAACAGTTAGGTCACAAGTAAAAACATCACCATGGTAACAGTAATAGCATTACCATGGGACTCCCAAGGACCCCAGAGCTGACTATGAATGCCTGATCTAAATAAACAGAACTATAACTGTTACTGAACTAACAGTTACCGGAGAATTTACAACACTCAAATGAACCAGTGGCTGGGTGATACTGACAACATTTTTCACAAATTGTTTATCTTTAATCAGTGATTTTATTTTGTAATTAAAATGTGCTAAAACGTGCACATTCCTTGTCTTGGTGTCACATCAAAAAGTGTGTTTTTCTGACAGAAAGTTATTCATAATATATCAGTCTAACCTTCACTGGTGAGGAAGTCTTCAGGTGAGGCCCAGGTTTTGTTGTTGCAGACAAAGGTAGTGTTGGAGCTGAAGGAGGAGTTGCCGCAGTGTTGGAGGCTGCGGATGCACTTCTGCCGCAGGAGGCCCATGAAGAGCTGCAGTCCAATCAGAGCAAAGACACTCAGGCAGAACACGGTCAGGATCATCACATCAGCCAGTTTCTTCACTGACTGGATCAGAGCACCAACAATCGTCTTCAGACCTGGAATCAGGAAATGCACAAGTAATGCAACAGTGTGGATTATTACAAGCAAAGCAATAACTTGAATAGTTACTGCACCTTTAAATTAGTCATATAAATATTGCCCAGACCTAAATTCAAGTAAGCAAGGTTTCTTACCAGGAATCACTGAGATGGTTTTTAGGGCTCGTAGGACTCGAAAAGTTCTTAAAGCTGAGACGTTTCCAAGATCAATAAATTCTGTAACATACCTGAGATTTGCAAATAAAATACAACAATTAACAAATACATGTACTAAGTATACTGATTTCAGCCTAAATCTTTTGCTGCTTTATGTGTAGTATGAAATATAACAATTACTCACGCCATGACAATCACAATGAAATCAAGCCAGTTCCAAGGGTCTCTGAGAAAAGTGAACGGCACTAAACAAAAGCCTCTTGCAAATATTTTTATTGCTGACTCAAATGTGTAAATGCCAGTGAAGGTATACCTGCAAACAAAAGCACACTCTTACTCAAAAAAATAACAAAATCACTTTAAAAGTACCATGCACGAAAAGATGCCAAACAGAAATTGTGAATGCCCATGCTCCAAACATTGACATAAATAAAGTGTTTCAGACATAAATCAGTTAATAACAGAAAATAGCAGTATTACTGTATATAATTAACTTTTTAATGACAATATCTATTTTGTTTTTTCAACACCAGGTTTTCCTTGAGAAGCAGAACTGTTGTCTAAGATGCGCTGATGATAAAATAGCACCCACATGGCTTACTTCATGCAATGTTTTCTATTGTTTTATTTTTGTTTCTGTGATGCACTTAAATATTACATGCATCCTTTACTTACATGTGACCAGCTTCAGTATTCACTGATAAAACAACCACCAAACCTCCACATTAGATTTGGGTTGACACAGTTTCACATTTAAGAGTGTGTTGTTCAGTACTTACTCCAGGTACTTGGTCCATGTAGGTGGATCGGACATGGCCATGAAGAAACAGTTGGTCAGGATAGTGCACATAATGAACAGACTAAACAATGTGGACAGAGTTAAAGGAAATAACTGAACAATTTTAGGTAAAATATTAGGCTCCAAAACATATATAAAACAGATAAACTATGCAAGTTAACAGCAGTAATGCTATATAAATAATTTAATTTCACCCATTTAAAAAGCATGGAAAGTGACATTTAAACTTAAAGCTGTATAAGGAATTAGGTGACCAATATGATACTGTCTCAATGAGGATTACCTAACAGCTTTATGCCTATTCTGATGTATTCAGAAAGGTCAAGCATGACTATAAAATATGTAAATTTAGAAAAGAAAAAATGCATACTACAAAAAGTCTGAAAACCTGTAAACATTACATTTTCTTATCACTAAATCTAAAAGTTTCTACAAAAAAGAGGAGCCAATCTCCCAAAGGAGTACAAATCATCTGGGAACTAACAGGCTGCCATCACATGATGCGCAATCTCCTAGCTCTTATTTCATTTCAGAGATTAAAAATGGGATATGAAGGGATTTGGTTTACGATTCCAGAGCGCACCATTACAAAGCAGTTTCAAATATTGGACTATAGTAAAATCCCATTGAAAACTGCTTTATTAAATGGTCTGTGGCTCATTTGACCGTATGTGTGTGTTTGAACAGACAGCTGCATCAAAAGGATATGAATGGACTAACACTTTGATAGCAAGGGACCTCAAGCAGTGAAAAGGACTTAATAAATAAATAGCAGACGTGGCACTAAATCTGAAGATGGCCTTTCCTTTGTTAAGTACTATAAATGTCTGGAAAAGAAAGAAAAATGTAATAGTTAGTTACAAATGGCAACATAAACATGACTCACGAACAAATATTATCCCATAGCTATTTGTTAAATTTTATCAGAAAAAACAGAGCTTCTCTCAAACTCTATGAGCTTGACTAATGGTGGACTCCAAAGCAGTCTGAACCTTTCTAACAGATTTATTAAAATATTTTTTCCTTTGGATAATCCTCTGCCTAACTGAGCATCACAGACCAAAACAAAGAGTCCCTGACAATTTTTGCCACATCCCATCCGCATACAACCCATTAAAGAACAGCAGCTTTTTGCAGACAAAAACTTGAACCAAATCCTCTTGTGTCCAGAGCAGATCAGCTCAGAGTCTGTACATGGGTCTTATGTCGGCTGTGTGAGGATGAACCAGGACAGTCACAGCGGGTGTCATATCTTTACTGATCTGCAGAGCTGGCGAATGTGCTGCACATTTGAAGGTGGTTTCAGATCTAAGTTGAACACTGCAGTGTTTGATGTATGGTATGTAAACCATAGTAATTTAAATGATAGTACTTTTTTACATTTGCATTAGCTTTATTAAAGCAAGTTTAGGTGCAGCTGCATTAACTACATCACAATGTGGTACAATGAACCAAGGTCACTGTCCTTCTCTTCAATCTTGACATTTGTTCTAGGTCACTAGAACAAATCACACTTTCCCTGCATCACTTCTTCATCAACAGGCACTACAGTGTTTTAATGGATCACATCACATCAGCCACCCTCACCCCTGTAATAACCATGATGTTCATTATCAATCAATGTTAAATATTTGTTTCTTGTGTAAGGAATATCAGAGAAAAAGCAACAACATAATTTTTATCCTAAACTTTTGATTCTTTTTTTGTTCTTACCTTCTGGTTCTTGTAGTATGGGTCGATATCCTCCAGTGGCACTCCGATGAGGTCTGAGGGTATGTCCCCATAGATGCGGGGCAGCTGTTTGCCCGCCTCCAGGTCAGCCCTGGGTTTGGGGGGCTCTGTATTTTTCTGGGCCTCTGCACAGAGCTTGGCCTTCCTGGCCTGCTCCTGCAAGATCCGCTGTTCCATGGCAGCCAAGGATTCACGAGTAAACTGCCGCAAGGCATCATGACCCGTTGGTAACAGAATGGCCATCTTTTCATCCTGATTCCCCTGTGCTAGAATTAGCTCACAGCTGGAACGAGAAAGAAGAGATTTCAACATTACAACCTGAACATGGCAATCACTCATTATCCCTAAGGTACAACATACTACACCTTCAAATTTGAGGCCAACATAACCAGAATACTTTTACATAATGGAGGTCTTTAGGGTTTGTAATGGTCAGATATTGGTAAAAACCTAAAGAATTGTCTGTATCATGTCATAGAGAACATGACAACGTAATTTCAATGGACAATAGTGATAATCTACCATTGCGAATTCTAACTCCAAAGACTCTAATGGGACCCCACATGATACTGTAGCACTATATTTGACAGTAATCATGACCAAATGTGTTTCCCATGTCCTAAAATATCATCCATGACACTAATGCGTTCATTTTCATTTCAGCTTCTTATTTGGCCCAGGTCGATCAGAGCTGAGCTCTCTCATAGAGTTAATGATCTGCCGCTTTTTCTAACCCACAAAACTCTCCAACTACTGTGTGTACATCTCATTCAAATGCACATTTTGATATATGTATATATAGAGTGAAAAGCATTAAAAAGAGGCAGTGTTTTAGTGAAATGAAATGTAATTCCACGAGAGCCAGATGAAATGAGTCTCACCACTAAAAATAATGATTATTAGATTTAAAGTGGAGGAGAGCCATGACGGATGTGACATGCATTCAAACAACCAGACACACAGCATCCCAACCCAACTTCTGCTATATTCATATAAACATATTTAATTAAGAAGGAAAGTACATGTTATGTTATATTATGTTATGCTGTGTTCAAGGAGGCATCAATACGTATATCATAAATATGTGACTATTCACAGCTTTAAATAACAATTGCCTGTAGATAGAATACATTGTGGACATATTCTTACAGGAGACACAGAGAGACATCTCACCAGGCCATTTTAGACCTGCCTGTTTGACATGCCTGGGTGAGCCTAAAACAACTTTGCATATGCATGGAGTATTTTTTCTCCACTTTTACTTTACTTGTCTTGAATGAATAAAGTTGAGATCTTCACTGGAATTATGTGGGTCAAATCCTTAAGAGGGTTATTTCACAGTACAATGACAGTATTGTAATGACAGTAAGTATTTTAAAAGTTATTCAAAAACAACACAAATGTTACTGAAAATTCAAGGGATCTATTACACAGTAACATGACATTAACTTTTTAAAGTGAATGTTGAGTCAGGGTCATGGCAGTGAGGTAATATAATTGTTTTTTAATTAGTCATCTTAGGGTGATGGCAACAAATCAGTCTGTAGGGATGAGTACTCCTACATCAGAGGTACATTGTGTGTTATAGCTGTGGTCACATATATAGCTTTGTTACACTAATAAACTTATGTCTGGCTTCTGCACATTAACTCCCTTTGATGATGACATTGATAGATGATGACTTGTGCCTCAGCTCTGTTTAATGTCATCCAGCCTGCACAGAGAATATCAGTCCCAGAGCCATATATAAAGTTTACACTGTCATAGTAGTTCTCATTCTCATGATACTTGTTTGCAGCTTCTTGGCTGTCAAAAAGCAGTATGGAAAGAAACCCTGAATTGATGGCCTACTTCTGTTGCAAACCTCTCACTGTAATTGCACTAGGAGCTTAAATAGGGGTTATAGGTATACCACTAAAACTAAATAAATGTAATGCCAGTCCCAGCTTTTTTGAGAGAATATTGATTTGACATGTTCAATGTCCTTGGATAACCATCTTTATGTAACATAAAGTCATTATATACATCAGCACATAGACAGGTTGATAATTTTTCTTAAAAGGGTAGGTTGTAAATGTAACAAATCAAACTATTTATATTGTTTTTTCCACTTGTTTATCTTAAGTTGATAATCTTAAGTAAACCCCAAAGATATAGAATAATAGTTTAATACTTACATGAAATACTGGGATTAACAGCTTTGTATCCGGGATATAGAAGGAGAAAACAGACCCTCCGTGTGAAATCCATGTCGTCTTTCCACAGTTCATTTTGCTTGCTTAAGATCCCAAAGTCCCATCAACAACGTGATAAAGTGCATGTTGCAAAAATTATCATCCCAAAAACTTTTGACCCTATTTCTTCATTGATTTAGGCTTGACATGTTGTCTTAGCCCCAAGTGCGATGATGATTTCCTCCTTTTTCATGAGGACCGTTTCCGTGTTCAGCAGCAGAGGAAAAGTCCAGGCTCAGAGGATGCTGCGCACCTCCATTTGCCCTTGAGCGCGTCAAGAGGGGGAGGATGCCCGGGACCACAGAGGATTACTGTTGCTATAGGGCTCCATACAAATAACACCATGGGCCTATGCAATGGCCTGGTGCACTATAACGCACCAAATACTTAATTTAGTTGGTTGATAGGTTTTAGCAGTAAATGCAATAAACAGTCAGACTATCAGGAACATTTCCAAGTTTGTTAACAAGGGAACAGTGTACACTTAAATTAACCAAAATGAAAAATATAGACAAATGAACTTCATCTGAATATTTTAAGCATGCTAATGCTAGCTGTAGCCTACACGCAAAGCTCATTGATTAGGGTCGACGTATAGTGTTATGTTCTGTTTTGTAAATACTAGGCTATATGGTCTAATATTTTCAAAGAGGGCATTGGAAAGTTATGTTACCTCTACAGATGAGCGTAGGCTACATGAAGCATAAGACGTTAACTTAATTAGGTGAGACTGTTTTGTCCAATTACTGGTGGAAAGTTTCAGTCAATCTGTGCTGATCATTTGTCCCATGATCTGTTCACACAACAGATCATTTTCGCAACAAGGACTGCGACGCTCTCTGGTGGCGGACCAGATGTACTGTAAAAATAAGAACAAATGCCTTTCTAACTAACTCATTATTTTAATCATTTCTAACAACGTCACGCATATATTTTATGATTAAACACAGAGAAATTCAAATATGAAATAAAATGGACTAATACAACTAGATTATTTTACTTCCTAGTATAGGTATCCATCTTAACGTTTGTCCTCCCACTGAGCAAAATAATTCCCTAATATGAACACTCTGAAAAGTGAATCGTATTGTATTTATTTAGAAAGGCAAATGAATGGTTTATCGGTGATGTGTGTGTGTGTGTGTGTGTGTGTGTAGCGTTATACAGTCTATGGTTAAAACAACATTACCCACAAATCTCAGGTGTGCATGTTTTCTTTTTTTCCGGATGTAGCATCACATGAATTGACTGTCAACATGCAAGATGGCCACGCATCACAGGCAAAATGCTGCTGGGCGGAGAAAAGTGCAGGTGAATTTATTATTCCTCATTATTTGTACATGTCAGACGCAACATTTAGGACGCGATCTTTGGAGTTCCATTTACATAAAGTTAGGTCACATCAAAAGCCTGTTTTATCATACGGGGCTGCTTTTATGAGTCATGACTTCAGCCGGCTAACCTTAGCTTAGCTGCGCTAGCATCCTTGGCTAACGCTGGCGAATAAATATGTGATTTTTACTCAACATTTACTTCTTATAGATACAGGATCATTTTAGCCTATTGTTGCTCTCATATTTGTTTTTCGAATTGAACGATTGTCGCAATTCTTTTGAGCATTTATTTTTCCACGGTGCTAAATTGAGATTAGCATGACTATCTTGGCTCCGTCTAGTTGCTGGAGTAATATACGCTCTCTCTGGTCCTGGGCACATTTCAAACCTCAAAAGTTGTTGTTTGATATTTGTCATGATCTTGTATTGCGTTGTTATAATCACATATAGTGGCCCTGTGCTTAACATTTCCTACGCCACTCTTGATTTAGCTAATCAGGACCCAAATACTGTAAGATAGAGTTCCCCTTGTTCCAAACTAATGGTGAAACTAAATTTCAATGTGCCGTCAGTTCAGATTGCTGGTCAGTGGTGGAGATGTGTCTGTGCTCACTGACCTCTCTGTGTCGCAGGTGTCCTATGTTATTAGAGATGAGGTGGAGAAGTACAATAGAAATGGGGTGAATGCACTTCAATTGGACCCAGCTCTAAACCGGCTATTCACAGCTGGACGAGACTCCATCATCCGGATATGGAGCGTTTATCAGCACAAAGTAAAGTCATTTGATTTGCTTGTTATTAATGTTGTGATCTGGCTAATGATTAGATAAATTGTGTGTTATTTACTGTTCTTTGGTATTACAGCAAGATCCATACATAGCTTCAATGGAGCATCATACAGACTGGGTCAATGACATAGTACTGTGTTGCAATGGGAAAACATGTAAGTTGGATTTTTTTTTTATTATTCTTACACAATTTTACAGTAGATTGTATTATTTTAGATGATTTTTGTACCATTTTCAGCCATGGATTATTGTACTTCTACTTAAAAAAATAAAACATGAATACATCATGGGATACATACACATGCCACTGTGCCCTTTTTATTAACTTACTTTTTTGTGTCTTTTAGTAATATCTGCCTCATCAGACACTACTGTTAAAGTATGGAACGCACACAAAGGTTTTTGTATGTCAACGTTACGAACACACAAGGACTATGTGAAAGCCCTGGCATACGCTAAAGATAAAGAGCTAGTGGCGTCGGCAGGCCTGGACCGGCAGATCTTCCTGTGGGACGTGAATACACTAACAGCACTTACTGCTTCCAACAACACTGTCACCAGTGAGTGCAGAGCTAACCCCCAACTCATGACATTCATACAGTTTGTCTTTTTTCTTATAATTTCTTTGTCTGTCGACAGCTTCCTCACTCAGTGGAAACAAAGACTCCATCTATAGTCTGTCTATGAACCAGATGGGCACAGTTATAGTATCTGGATCCACAGAAAAGGTTTGCAAAGTGAAATAAATCCTGTTTATCCTTGTTTTCCCTTTCCCCCACCTATAGCTGTTTAAATCCACCTGAATTGTGCAGTTATGTGGTTACTGGCTTCTTTCAGGTACTCAGAGTCTGGGACCCACGAACATGTGCAAAACTGATGAAGCTAAAAGGTCACACAGACAATGTTAAATCCTTGCTGCTAAACCGTGACGGCACTCAGGTAAAATGTCAAGAAAAAATGTCTCCTATACAAATTTATGTGATGTCATGCAGTACATGCAGCTGGATATTTGTAATTTCCGTGGCTTTTCTCAGTGTTTGTCAGGTAGTTCTGATGGGACTATTCGACTGTGGTCCCTTGGTCAGCAGCGGTGTATCGCCACATACCGGGTCCACGACGAAGGTGTCTGGGCTCTGCAAGTGAATGAAGCATTCACACATGTGTATTCAGGTGGCAGGGACAAAAAGATTTACTGCACTGATTTACGTAACCCGGACATCAGAGTGTTAATCTGTGAAGAAAAGGCTCCTGTGCTCAAAGTAAGAGTTTGTTTTCTAGGAATCCTAAAAAGGAAGTAAAAAAATCTTACAAATTGTTAATATTGTGTTTCTTTTTCATAGCTGTAAATTTTGTGTCTTTTGTCTTTTGTTCAGATGGAACTGGACAGATCTGCTGACCCACCGCCTGCAATCTGGGTCTCCACCACCAAGTCATCCGTTAATAAATGGGTAAGCATGCATGACACGTTTGAGATCCCTGTGCTTCTGCAATAAAGCTCCTGGAATCCACTGTTTACAGACTAGTTTGTGTGACCTCACCTAATATTTTCCTACCCCATTCCCATTCACTCAAAATATATTTAACAGTTAAACTTAAATGTGTTGTTTATCATTTCAGATCACAAACAATATTAAATTGGTACTAATATGCATACAATATAATATGTACTTTCCAATAGTCTTTAAAGGGAATGCACAACTTCAGGTCATCAGGGGAGTATGACAATGATTGCAGTACACCTCTGACACCACTTTGTACACAGCCAGAACAAGTCATTAAAGGTAAGTGTATTTTTAAGTGTATTTAATGGCTAAATAATGTCCTGTGTGCTCATTTGAACTATGTCTGATTTTGAAGGAGGTGCCAGTATTATCCAGTGCCACATTTTGAATGACAAGAGACACATACTCACCAAAGATACCAACAACAATGTGGCATTCTGGGATGTCCTAAAGGTAGAGTTAGCTCAACATGTAACTGTAACATATAGTTGTTTCTGCATAATTGTTTTTAACTGTTTAGCTTGATTGACAGGCTTGCAAAGGAGAAGATTTAGGTAAAGTAGAATTTGACGAAGAGATTAAAAAACGCTTCAAGATGGTGTATGTGCCAAACTGGTTCTCTGTTGATCTGAAAACTGGGGTGAGTAATTTCTGCTAACACATTTAATTGTTTCTGTCTGCAAAAATGCATTGTTAACTTTGGCTTTGTGCATGTGTAGATGCTTACTATCACCCTGGACGAAAGTGACTGCTTTGCTGCCTGGGTATCGGCAAAAGATGCTGGTTTTTCAAGCTCTGATGGATCTGACCCAAAGTGTATGTAGACTTACTAAAACATTCTGATATAATTTAACGCTCCTGATTAGTTATCACCTGAGTCATTGTATTTGTGCAGTGAATCTGGGAGGATTATTGCTTCAGGCCCTGCTGGAGTTCTGGCCCAGGACTCGTATAAACCCAATGGATGAGGAGGAGAATGAAGTTAACCATGGTGTGTGCTATGTGCTATTTGTACTCACTGTTGTACAGTTTTTCAGAAATATGGGTTTGAAGATGTTTCTTTGCTGTAGTGAATGGTGAGCAGGAGAACAGGATCCAGAAAGGAAATGGATACTTTCAGGTGCCACCACACACGCCAGTTATCTTTGGAGAGGCCGGAGGCAGGACTCTATTTAGGCATGTGTAAACTAAATGTATTTAATTATAAATGTATAGTATAGTAATGTATAGTTCAGTCTAACACATTCATTTACCTTGTTTCGTCTATTGTGTGGAATGTTGCAGATTGCTATGTAGAGATTCAGGAGGAGAGACTGAATCAATGCTGCTTAATGAGACAGTCCCTCAGTGGGTTATTGACATAACTGTAGATGTGAGTATTACTATTTTAACATTTCAATAAGAACCCTTTGATTGGAAATGTACAACTCTATTTAAAATAACAAATTTCATGAATATAATAATTCACAGCATGGTCTTTTCAAATCGACACAGTTAAATAAATTACAACACTGAAAGACAAATACTTCCATTAAAAGATGACTCTGTTTCTATGTTTCAGAAAAATATGCCCAAATTCAACAAAATTCCATTCTACCTCCAACCCCATTCATCTTCTGGTGCAAAAACTCTAAAAAAGTAAGTTATTTTTAACCTTTGGATTTGAAAAATAATAG